GAAACTTCTGGCAACCTATGTATCCACCCCTTTAAAAAGTGGGTTTTTCATTGCAGTCTCTGGTTTAATAGTTTGTTTAGCTTTTTAATCAACCTAGTAGCTTTAGGATGATAGTGCAGAAGGCAGTGTCATATTACATTGTCGTCATTGTCCCATTCCCGCACCTAATGACCAGTGAAATCAGTCCCTTGGTCACTGTTGATGTCCCTGGGCCATTCGTGCATAGCACACAATTGTCTAAATCCCTGTATGGTAGCCTTCTGGGTTGCTTTCTTGCTAGGTTATGCTTGCAATAGGCCAGTGGCAGTGTTGATGCATGTCAAAGTCTATTTGCCGTTCTGAGACAGCTGGGAGGGCTTGACGTAATCCACCTGCCATCTCATGGCCAATGCTTTGGCTCTTGCTATTTGTTCTAAATGTCATGGTAACTTCTCTCTGTGTGTGTGTGTGTTCCAGAGAACAAGGAGCACACTCCTGGCTTGTCCTCTTAATATGGGTGAGGTTCATGCCCAACTATTTGTGCCCAGTCTTTTTAAAAAATATATATTTTTATTGATTTCAGAGAGGAAGGGAGAGAGAGAAAGAAGCATCAATGATGAGAGAGAATCATTGATTGGTTGCCTCTCGCATGCCCCTTACTTGGGATCGAGATTGCAACTCTGGCATGTGCCCCAACCAGGTATTGAACCATGACTTCCCGCTTCATAGGTCAACGCTCAACCACTGAGCCATGCCAGCCAGGCCGTGCCAGTCTTTTTATGTAACCAATGGGGCAACTCTTGAAGGTATTTGTTTTTCTCTATCTTTTGGGCCTGGGCCTACTGATCCATCTTCTGATTTCCCTGAGGTTGACTCAACACTGTGGGCCAGTACATGGTTCACCGTGACCTAGATGCCTTCTGTCTTTTCCCAGGTCTCATTCCACATTTCAGCTTTCTGAAGTGGGCACTATTGAACTGCTTAGCTGTTCTTTTTCCATTGCCCCATCCACAAAGTGAGGCCTTTGTAGACAGCCTGATTGTCAGTTACCAAAGTGACAGGGCTTGGTTTATGTATCAGTATCATCCAAGCTGCTTGCAGATCAACCCATTGACTGCTTTGTTGTCTTTCTCTATCCAGGCACAAAGTGTTTGTGTTTGGCTGTAATGTTACTGTGGTTCAACAGCATGGATTATCCTTAGCAGACCCATTGGTGTACCATGCAGTCATGGGGACTGGAACTTGACCTTCCTTAATATGTGTCCATGGGCCCATGTCAGTGTTTTCAGGCACTTCGCTAATATATGTGACTGGGCCCATGAGGGCATGCAGCTCAGTACTATGTGGACTGGTCGATACAATACATCATTGCTGGAAATATGCATACTACTTACGTAGGGTAGTGAGCTGGGCCACCCCCAGTTGGGGTGTGGAAAATTCCCGGATTCATCTAGCAATGGAGTACTGTGTCTTTAGCATCATTGCAGGGCTTTTGTGATACTCTTTACATGCTGTAGACCAGTGATGGAGAACCTTTTGAGCTCGGCGTGTCAGCATTTTGAGAAACCCTAACTTAACTCTGGTGCCGTGTCACATATAGAAATTTTTTGATATTTGCAACCATAGTAAAACAAAGACTTATATTTTTGATATTTATTTTATATATTTAAATGCCATTTAACAAAGAAAAATCAACCAAAAAAATGAGTTTGCGTGTCACCTCTGACACGCGTGTCATAGGTTCGCCATCACTGCTGTAGACTAAGGTACACTGCCAAGCCTTGTCTTTCCATAGGACTATATCTTTCTTCATAATTGGGACCAGAAACCTAGGGGCACCTTCTTCTCATCTTGCTTTTGCCATAAGCCCCACCCAAAGCCCTTCGGATAAACAGAAACATTTAATTTACAAGGGTTGGTTGAATTCATACCCCCATCCCTAATTTTTGTGTTTGTTTGCTGCCACCTTTGCACTAGCAAAGGCATCAGTGTGCTCTTGTCACCAATCCCACATTGTTCATTTCTTTGCTAATCTGTGTAAGGGAGGTAAGAGCTGAGCTAGATGGGAGAATAAAAGGCCTTCAATATCCAAGCAATTCCAAAAGTGTTTGCAATTGTTTTACTGTTTCTGGCATAGAATAATTTTGAAGATCTTATCCAGCACAGCAGTGGGAAAAACTTTTGTCTTACTATACCAGACAACCCCCCAATGACAGAGGACCTGGACTCTTGCACCTTGTTGCAATTTATGGCCCATCTCTGCGCATGGGCCACGAAGTTTCAATCGCACTGTATGTGCGCGCCCGCATGTGGTATTTTGTGGAAGAGCCACGCTCAAGGTGCCAAAGATCCGCATGTGGCTTGTGAGCCATAGTTTGCTGACCACTGCAGTAGACACTCTGCCATCTTATGTAAAATGGTACGATCATTACCAGTTAGTGTAATGTAAGCAATACTATGACGCAATGCCACCTCTTCCCCACCATTCCATACAGATATATCTTTCACTATTAAACCATGACAAATGGTGGGGCTATGTAGATAGCCTGGTGGCAGAACCTAAAACATCCAGTGTTCTCTGTTCCATCTGAAGGTGAACTGATCTTGACTTTGCATGTCCATAGAAATACTGAGTAAGGCATTAGCCAGGTCTAATACAAAATGATAGGTTCTTAAGGATTTGCTTACTTCATTTAATAATTGGGTGATATTAGAACTGCAGCATGGATTGGAGGAACTACTTTATTAAGCTCCCAGTAGTCCAATGTCATTCTCCATGATCCATTTGACTTACAGACTGGCCAGACAGGGCTGTCTGTGAAAAGGACTATGGGTGGGACAAATTATGTCCGATCTGTCTAGCTCTTTAACTGAATCAGTGATCTCTGCATGTGCCCCAGGTAAGCGATACTGTCTTTCTGATACTACCCGCCAACGTTGTGAGAACCCTTCAGCAGTAGCTGCCTGTGCCATGTGAGTTTCCCATTCCAAATAGAGGTCATCTTCCAAATGGAAATTCCTAGAGGCCAGCGCTAGCGCCTCTTCCAAGGAGAACCTCCGAGTACACAGGAGAGGCCAGGCCACAGCAGCCACTGTTGCTTTTATACCTTTTTTGTCTTTATCTACCTTAAGCCTCTTCCATTATCTGCTACTCCAGCAGGCATCTTTGGAACATCTTACAATGCTCCTCACACACCTGTCCCCAAGCCTCCAATGTTGTGCCAACTGGCCCAAAGCATAGTGCTTGGCCATCCCTGGATTTCCCGTGGCTCAGTCCATTTTCCCCCTATTTTGCCTATGGCTTACGTGGGTTCTTAAGAATCCTGCTTGCTCACAGCACCAGTTGTTGGGGAAAGTCCCAAAAGTCTAAATTCAGGATTGATTTTGAAGAACTGACACCTAGACTAATTTAAATTTATAAGAGCTTTAATAGGAGAAACTTATATACATGGGCAAAGCAGGAGTTCCCAGTGGTGGCAGGCCAGGAAGACTCTATACCCCTCCTAGGACAGAGTTCCTTTTTAAAGGGGGTTAATAACAGGGGTTAATGGCAAAACCAAATGGCAGGTCATTGTGAAACCTCTCCAGAGAACAATGTTACAAGCAAAGTTAAAAGGTAACATCAGGCAGTTATTACACTCTATGTGTTCACTAACCTCCTTCCAGAGGACATGACATTTGTCCTGGTGTGACATTCTGATTTTTTGAGTAGTTTGCCAAATGAAAGTTTACAGAGGGTTACACAGCCACAAAGAGTTCAAAAGTCACAGCTAGTTTAACATCTCCCTAACGCCTTCGCCACTGGAGCTATGTAGCATCTCTAAAGTGAGTTTCCCACAGTAAGCAATTGCCAGAATGTCCTATAAAAGCCCACATGGAACATGACAGGTCTACTATGCGATTTTGATTAGTTCCCAGTTCTCTTATAACATGGCCTTCATGCTGTATACCCTTCTGTAAATCCACATTAAACATTATAATTTATTTTAGAGTCACAAAATCAGGATTGTAGGATGGACTAGGATCTTTTTTTAAGCATCTTCATTTTTTTAATTTTTTTGTTTTTTTTTGGTGAGGAAGTTGGTATGTATAGAAGTCACATTGTCCTTTTTTTTTTTAATGTCACACAATTATTTATTGGTAGAGCCAAGACTAGATAAAGTTTCTGACCTTTAATTACTTTGGTAAATTAGACATAAATTGACCATTTTAGAGGGTCAAATAATGAGAAATGCTGTCTTTAGATTCTTAGCAGTGGTGTACTAAGGGCAGGGTATGGGACTGTCTGCCCCGGCTGAATGGTCCTCAAAAGAACTTAGACCAATAAGTAATATTTTCCATGAAGAATATTTTATCACTGACACTGTTTTAAGTTGTGGGCATGTTATTGTTTTTATTAAGAGACAAAGCATCCCAATGCGGATGACTCCAATGCCCTGTAATTGGAATGCCACAGGTGAATAATAAACTAGTCATGTCTGTTTACGTTCCAGTACAATAGAGCAGCCCACAACTACTGCTAATTATGAGATTTAGTCCAGAAGGACTGTGAAGATGAGAAGTAAATGGGGTTTGAGCATGTACCCTGCCTCTGTTCACTAATGATTTTCTTTCCCCAGAGACAGCCAAGTTTAGTTTTTCCTTAGGACTTATAAGAATATCCATACCTAAGACTGAGAGAGTAAATATTTGTTTCTTTATAAGCTCATCATCTTACATGTCTTAACACTATGCCCAATGTGTCCTGGGAGTAGAATAGTTAAATATCTTTTTCTTTTTTTTTTTTTAACTTGGCCTCTATTGATTTATCTAGTGTTTGTTATTTGGGATACAAAAACAGAACTGATCAAGTGAAATGATTCAGTTTGGCAGAACACTCACTATTCTAGTAAACAAACTGCATTCTGAATTTACAGAGTTTCAAATTCTGAACCAATGGAAATGAGAGTCTAGTAAGAGTAAGTGGAGAAAGCTGATTGGCAGGTTCAGGGTGATCAGGATAAATAAAAGGCAGCAGCAGAACATCTGGGAAGATCAATGATCTGTTCATTTAGAGCCAAAACCTCAGTGCTTCTCAAGCAGTGTGTTTTCACCATGAGTGGCTGCCCATTCTTAAGAAATGACTTTGAGTAAGTATTTATCTCTATTCTAAATATGGTTAGGCTCTTAAAAATGTTAAGTATGAACACTTTATTTCCTGAATTTCAAGAACATTGAAAACTGTCACCCTTATTTCCTTGTTAATATGCTTTAAAAAATAGCAGTAAGAGAATTTTAAAGACTCATATTATTAGTTACTGTGCTTTCTCAAGATCTGTTTATTTCTCATCGCATATTTAATCTGCAGATATGATTTAAGAAAACTGTCTTTAGAAGGCAATGAAGAGGACAAATCACAAACTGGTGTAAATAAAGCCAGCAAAGGAGGACTTATCTATGGGAATTATTTGCATGTAAGTGGCTGAGTATCTTATAGTGTTTAGTTTCCATTGTTGGGCATATATTTTGTCTAGTTTTTTTTCTCACTTATCAAATAGTTTTCTGAACCTAATGATATCCATTTACATATAAATTTATGTTTTCTCAACTTTGTTAGAACAATTCAAGAGACTCATATGAAAATCCAGCAGAGAACCCAGAATCTGGGCGAAAGAGTATAAATGATCAAATTAGTGCAGGTAATTGGCAGGCATTATACAACTTGTATAGATAAGACAACTTCACTAAATTCTAGCCTAGGTAATTACAAATGATTTCAGACAAATTTCTCTTTTAAATCCCCTTTTAAAAAATAGAAATGTTAAAGGCCCATGCTTTCTTGAAATCATTAATAAATAAAAGAAGGATGATACAAAGGAGGTATTGGAGATTATCTGGGGTATGTTTCAGCCTGTTTGCCTTCTATATTGTTTAAGTGAAATAGTTAGAGTTCTCGTTGCCTGCATCTATGGGTTTCTAAGGATAAGCTGATCAAGCATGTTAAAATCTTTTTCAAATAGGCTGGTTAGGGGGATAGAATAATGGAAGACACACAGTCAGCTAAGCAACTTGACAAGCTTTTTATCATACTCATTTTAAGAGATACAAGAACAATGACTTCTCAATGAGTGTGATAGCATTTGTTATCATGGAATCCTACCAAATATAATATTCTTCAGAAAAAGTGAAAACCATAAATTCAACGTACTGTTTATTTATAATAAGACTCATTAATTTTTTAAAAGTACATAGAATAGATCCTGAGAATTTGAGAATTTGGGGATTTTTTCAGTATTGTATTCTACTTTGTATAAAAGTTGTTAAAAAAACAACTTTTGCAATTTCAAAATCAGTCACTTTTTTTAGTTTTATTGAACTATGATTGTTATATAACATTGTGCAAGAATTGTTATATAACATTGTGCACAACCTGTTGATTTGATACCTTTATATATTTCTGTATGATTACTGGTGTAACATTTAGCTAACATGCTATTATGTCATACTAGAGGCCCGGTGCATGAAATTCATGCACAGGGCGGGGTGTGTGTCCTTCAGCCCAGCCTGCACCCTCTCCAATCTGGGATCCCTCTCACAATCTAGGACTGCTGGCTCCCAACCGCTTGCCTGCTTGCCTGCCTGATTGCCCCCAACTGCCTTCCCTTGCTGGCCTGGTCACCCCTAACTGCCCTCCTCTGCAGGCTTGGGTCCCCCCGCCCCAAACTGTCTCCCCTGCAGGCCTGATCACCCACAACTGCCCTCCCCTGCTGGCCATCTTGTGGTGGCCATCTTGTGTTCACATGGGGGTGGCCATCTTTGGCCACATGGGGCGGCCATCTTGTGTGTTGGAGTTATGGTCAATTTGCATATTACTGCTTTATTAGATAGGACTAGAGGTCTGGTGCATGAAAATTCATGCACTGGAGGGGGGTCCCTCAGCTCGGCCTGCCCCCTCTCACAGTCCGGGAGCCCTCAGGGGCGGGAGGTGACCCAGTGATCAGGGGAAGGCGATGCCCTCATCACACCACTGCTTCTGTCACTGCTGGCAGCACAAGCCTCAGCCGGCCCTGGTTGTCTGAGCCTTGGCCGGCCCTGGGCGGCTGGGGGGCTGTGGGGACTGGGGGACTCTGGAGGCAGGTATGCGGCAAGGCCGGGCCCACCTGGGGGCAGGCCTGGCCTTGCCGTATGCCTGCTGCCCCAGCGGGCAGAGAGGACTAGGCGCTGCCATCTTGTGGCTGTGGGCGCCGCCATCTTTGCCATGGTGTGAGGGTCAATTAGCATATTCCCTCTTTATTAGATAGGATCATTGCCATTTTTTGGTGTGTGGTGAGAAAATTTAAGATCTACTCTTTTAGTACCTTTCATATATATAACACAGTCTTATTAATATAATCACTGTGTTATACATTAGATCCCCATTACTCATTTATCTTATAGCTGGAAGTTTGTATAAAATCAGGTGTTTATTTATTTATTTTTTTGTTTAAAGTTGGAAAAAATTTTGAATGCACAGGAGCTTCAAAGTGAACTAAAAGGAAATAAAATCCATGATGAACACCTTTTCATCATAACTCATCAAGGTAAGTTGCACAAAAGTTTGGACAATAACTATTCCACAGGTATTTCCCATCAGTAATGAGGAGAGCAACAATTCTTTTAACTATAAAATGGTAAAAGATCAAGGAATCACGTTTGTTAGAAATGCTCAACAATATTTTACTGTCAGATCAGTTCTCATCGGACTTCCTGGGATTTGTAAGTCTTCTTTATGTTACTTCCCTGCTAGTTGGGTCAGGTTGAACTTTGAGCTTTGTCCTATGTCCAAGGAAACATTTATCTTGGAATTGACAAAGAATTTTTAAGTAAGATGTTACTATGTTTTCAACTTGGAAGTTAAAAAAATTACTTTCAAGAAATAGAGCACTCAAATTTATTGTGACTTTACATACTCCCATATAAATCTGGTACTTAATAAAAATGTAAATTTTGTTGAAAATGTGTGTTTATCCTTTTCAGACTTAAAACCTCTGGGCAGTGTTTTATTTCCTTTTTTTATGTTTCAGGGATACTGTTCCTTGATTAAATATTTTTTGTCTTTTTCTGCTTTTGAAATGAGCCCCCAATTACAAAATGTCAAACTGCATTGACCCAGTACAGAGATGCTCACATTAAGGACAGATAGCAGCAGCAGGTGGCAAGAGGTAGGAAGTGATTGAAGCTGTGGCTACAAACCTTCACAGGAAGCTAAAACTATCTGACAGGTTGTGCCCTGATTTTAGCACAGGTTAGACTAGTCACTACCTTGGTGGGTAGCCTCAGTGTATTTGGGTTCAGATTTTACACTTCCTTCCATTTAAGAGGCCTTGATTTGAACTGATGGCACTGGACCAGTCTAGATGTATTGAGAGACTTCAGCAGCTCTTCACTTCAGTGATTGTATCTGTTTGGCATATCCTGGCTGATACTTAGCTTAGCCAAGATCCAAATGCCATTAGTGAGCATCAGAGATTGACACAGGGTGTCCTGTCCGCCCTTGCACAATTCTCTTTACAAAGGTTGTTTTACAACTTGCTGGCAACAGTGTCAGCAATTAAATGGCATTCCTTAATCTGAAACTGAAGTTCATTTTCATTGGGAATATCCTTTCATGTTGCAAGAAAGACCTGGAGCTCTCTTTTGCCATCTTCTACAGAAAGCACATTGAGTGGGATGAGGCAGCTGAAGTAGGAGACATCAATATTGTTTTGCACAGCCACCTGCAGGTCACTCAGAGGCTCTGTCTTCATAACTGGGCCTGTGACTGAGAGGCAGGGAGACATCAATGCTCTGGTCCGTGGTGTCCGGATGGCCAGAGGAGAGCTTGGGACAACACCAAAGCTGTTCTTGTTAAACTAGATTGCAGTCTCATGTGCTATAGGGCTCCGTTGGTGAAGCTCATTTCCCAATAGATGTGTCCTTGGTGATGAGTACATGTTTCAGAAATCTCCAAGCCTTTAGTCTCTAGTGCAGGCAGCCAAACAGCCTTAGGAGTTGGCAGGTGCCATGCCAATCCCTGTAGAGAGTTCAAATACAGTAAAACCTTGATATAACGGAATAATTCCAGCAAGGGGCAGTCCGTTAAAGCTAAAAGTTTGTTTTATAATGAAGTGGTTTTCTGAATGTTAAAAATTTGACAAATTAGGTAGCTTACCTGTTTTTACTTATGTAGACACTAGAGGCCTGGTGCATGAAATTCATGCATGGGTGGGGTCCCTAGGCCTGGCCAGTGATCAGGGCTTATAGGGGCCATCTCACCCAGTCCCAAACGGGGCTGGCCAGCCAGGGTTTGCTGGCTGTTGGCCGGGACCTGCTGGGCAGGAGGGAAAAGATTGAAGGTGGTTTGCCGGTTGCGGGGAAGGACTGGGAGAGATTGGCTCGCCGTGGAAGATTGGCTGCAGGAACCCACTGACCACCAGAGGGCAGCTCCTGTGTTGAGCGTCTGCCCCCTGGTGGTCAGTGTGCTTCATAGTGACTGGTCGACTGGTCGTTCTGGTTGTTCGGTCGTAATGATCTCTTAGGCATATATTTAGAGAGATAGATATAGATATAGATATAGATATATAGATATAGATATAGATATAGATAGATATATAGATATTTGTGGAATTAAATTAATTATATATGAAAAGTTTAATTTCAAAGAAAAGTTTTCTCTATGTGTTACTATAATTTGAAATGTATACTGAATAGATCTAGTAAATGCTTGCATTCACCAATCACTGTAAGTAAACAAATGCACAGGACTGGGGAGTGGCTGAGCACATGTGGGAACATCTGCCACAGGTGTTAAATTGCTGCAGAAAATCACACCAGGTGATAACATAACCAATCATCATGCCTGACGGGGTGTGATCATGTGTTAGTCATTCAGTGAACATTGTTTATAAGCAGTGATTCTTGGATTTCAATATGTAGACTATAGTTTTAGATATGCAATATTTATTTATGTCTGCAAAATTACTACAGGTTTTTTCCCCAACATATGGCCTATTCACTAAAATTTGTTAAAAATAACAATGGATTAATAACAAAAAACAAACCTGTTAATTTAACTATAAGCAAATCTTGGTTAAAAGCATTTAAAAAATAACAGAGTAGTAATTTTTTCATATGACATACAGACTGAAAATTTTGTCCGTTAAATCTAAAGTCCAGTCTGTTAAATTGAGGTCTGCAAACTTGAGGATTTACTGTAGATCATTGAGACCACTTGCTGATCATAGCAGGAGTAGGTGAAGGAGCAAAGGTTGTAGGCACTGATGATGGAATAAAGGATTGTCCCACTAGACTCTCTAGTCCTCCTCCCAAGAGACCCACTGCTCCCACCTGCATGGAGAATATCTGTGGCACATTGACTGGGAGACAGAGGTCAAGGTTTATACGATGCCCCAGAAGAACACCTTGAGAGGGAATAACTGGAGGTGGGTCCAGGTTAGTGGCAGTAGTGGTAAAACATGAGCAGTAGTTTTTCATGTGGGAGTCCATGACTTTGAGAGTTTAGAAAGTCTCTGAACGCTGAAATTATGTGCAAAACTTTGTGAATGTGTCTTAAAGAGGTCTGTGACCCCAAAATATTAAGATTTACTCTAAAATTGTTGGTGTCCTAATGCTGTCCTCTGATTGTCCAGGACCCAATGACCCAAGCTAGTCATGGGTCCATTTCTAGACATGTTTTCTTTGCTTACCAATTCTTTGTGTTTTTTTCCACAAACGGTTGTTTGCTTCATTGACTGGCTAAAATGATTCACTCCTTTGAGTAAAAAGTAAAAACAGAAAATAATTTACATAATTTGTATTGGTGGCTTATCCAAAGACAAGCTCAATAGGGGGGAAATCATGGCAGGATAGCACAAATTTGGAATCAGAAAATTGTTTAGAATCCCATCTCTACTGTTATAAATTGGGAAAGCTTGGTCAGGTCCCTTAACCAGTAACTCTTTCCATTTCCCCATGTGTAAAATGGAGAAAATTGTTGTATTTTATCAATCATAGAGTTCTTGTGAAGATGAAATGAGGTAATGCACATTAAGCACTTAGCCCAAGGTATAGCACATTATAAACATACAGCAAATGGTAGCTATCATTATCTGATAGGGAGCTTTTCCCTTCCTTCTTCAGTTACAAAACATAATCAGTGAATCGTGGGGCAAACTACAGAAAGCTAAACCTAAAATGAGAAAAATTTAACACCAAATGGTGGTTATATAAACTGATCAAGGAAATATCTGCTTTGCTCTTTGTCCAACTATGAAAATTAAATTCCAAAAGTATCCTGAAATGTGATTTAAAATATAATTTGATTCCCCTAATTAGTGCAGAAACATAGCCTGTAGCCATAAGATAGCACCAGGTAGAATGCACTAGAGATCTCTAAGATTATTGGTTTTCTGTGCTCAGCTAATAACTCCACTGGTTATTAAATTCATTTATTCATAAAATAATCACCTGGGTTTATCTTATGCCAACACTGTGCTAGATACTAAGGGAAATAGATGAATAAGACAAAGTTTTAGATTTAGACTGTTCATAAACTTGTCATCCTCACAGTTTTCTAAGCCCCTGGAAACTAACGTCTTGTCATATTCATCAGATTAGTAAATACTGTTATTTCAGTTTATAGGTGAAGTTGAGTGTCACTTCTGCTTCTCTGCATACCTCCATCTTCCAAGGGGATTGTAGAATTAGATAATGTGCTATATCCTAAAAAGACTTAAATAGTATATTTGTTGAGAGAAATCAGTATATAATATTAACAACCACAAAGCGTATTGATAATATGCATAGCATATTAAAACAGTCAATAAATGGAGGCTATTGTACATTTATCACTAATATTTTGTTGTAGCATAAAATAGGGCTATATGGGTATTTCTTGATTTTTAAATTACATTTCTATTTCTTTCAATGTGTTAACCATGTCTTTTATATAATTATGGTCAAAGAGGCTCCCAAAACTTTCCAACTGACAATGTGTTTTTTTCATTGCAGCTTATGAACTCTGGTTTAAGCAAATCCTCTGGGAATTAGATTCTGTTTGTGAGATCTTTCAGAATGGCCATGTGAGTTGTTATATCGCAATATTGGTTCCAGGATATTTTTGGAGAATGTAAAAAATATTACTAATGAGAAAAAATTTAACACCAAATGGTGGTTATTACTTACTGAAAAAAATTCCCCCCCCCCCCCAGTGGCCAAGAGCGTAGTCATATTTTCCCAAGGCCATTGCTACCCTAGAGCTTCACATTTCATTCAAGTTCCTTTCAAATTTCAGCTTCAAGCCCCTTACAGTATTTAGAACTCACTTATTATTAATTTTTTTTGCCGCTGAGAATAGTTGTTTTAGCTCATGGTAGATTTCCAGAATAGCCGGCAATCTACCTTTAATGAATAAGTACCTGAGTTGTATTTCTAATGAATATTTGCTGTGGGAAGATAGGAACAATAATGAAGAAACTAAACAGGAAAAGGTAAAAAAAAATAGTAGCAGGAGAAAGAAACAAAGAAAAGAGTGCTAACAGTGGAACCGCCGGTGACGGCAGAGTCTGAACTGTGTTCTCCTGCCTCCCGCCCTGCTTCCTGCTCCCACAAGTCTTCCAGACACAGGGCACAGCCTTAAGCACTCAGGAGGGGTTGGGGAAAGAGAGCAGTCAGACACAGACAATCCTCTTCTATATGTGCTTGCGATTTCCTTTTATGTCATTGGCAACTTTGTCCCTCAGTAAAGAGCAGATTTATTCTGGTGTTGCTTCATCCTCACCCAGAAGTTGCCATGCTCACCTTTATTCCTTGAAGCAAACGTAGAAACTTGCTTTAAAATGAGTGGATGTTGATCTCCAGAATTTACTTCTAACTTGCCTTCATGTAATTTTCTATTTTAAAAAAATTGATTTCAGAGAGGAAGGGAGAGGGAGAGAAAGAAACATCAATAATAAGAGAGAATCATTGATCGGCTGCCTCCCGCACGCCCCACACTAGGGATCAAACCCGCATCCTAGGCATGTGCCCTGACCTGGAATCCAACTGACACCTCCTGGTTCATAGGTGGATGCTCAACCGCTGAGCCATTCTGGCTGGGCTGTGATTTTCTATTTTTAAAGAAAGATATGTGATTCTGATTTTGCAGACATTCCTTGCAAACAATTCAGTTACCATTAGTTCAATATCCACAGAATTATACTTCCAATGTTCCTTTCTGAAGTAAAGATAAAGTTCATAGGAATGTATTATTGTTTGTAGTCTATTTTGTAATTTCTAAACATCAGAATTGATTTCTCAGTGTCTCATTTCTTAACCATCAGGTCAGGGATGAAAGGAATATGCTTAAGATTGTTACACGAATGCATCGAGTGGTGGTGATCCTTAAACTACTGGTAGAGCAGTTTTCTGTCCTGGAAACGATGACAGCCTTGGATTTCAATGACTTCAGGTGTGCACCGGTGGCTATGTGATAACTCGGTGGGGTTCACCTTCTCACTCTGGTGGGGTAAAGGAGGGCATGTGTGTTGTGTGAGATGAGGAGCCTGTCTTACACTGTCACTATCAGCACTTGGGAGTCTTAATCACAACGAATTTGAGAAGTTATTAAAAACATTTCATCACTTGTTTTTACATACAAACATAATATGATTAATTAATTTCAACTCATCGTTGTGCCCTGTGTTTATCCAAAAATAATTTTAGACCACTTATCAAAATGGCTAAAGTGGCTGATATAATGCATATAACAAATTTTGTAAAAACTAAAAGCTAAAAATAAAAGAGAAACAGGAGTGATAAAGAACGATGTCAGAAAAAACATCAGAATAAGTCATGGATTGAATTATAAATTTTCTACATTTCCAGGCAGCCAAAGCTATATATAAGCTATATATATATATATATATATATACACACACACACACACGTATATGCATGCATATATGTATACATGTATATATGTATGTATATACAACATATATACATATATGTTCAGAAAAAAGCTTTCATCATACCAAATTTAAAAGTAGATTTTCCTAGAACATAAGGTGCATTTGATAATGTAATATATAGTCCAACATGTTTGACATTCAAAGAAATGTAGCAAAATTCCTTTGTGTTGGATTAAAAAATTGAAGTCTTAGTACCAATGGATGAAAGACACAAAAATGTAAGATGTTGTATAGCTGTGTAGGGTAGGAGTAATAACATTTTGATTGCCTTTTTTTTATGCTAGGCAACATCCCCTGTATTTTACTTACAGTATGTCATTGGTGCTCATAATAATAATAGGTAGTGACATCAATGATAGAATATAAGTTTTAGACAATGGACTACTATTCAGCTGTAAATAAAAGGAAATTTTACCCATTGTGACATCATGGACGGACCTGGAGAGCATTATGCTAAGTGAAATAAGCCACTCAGAGAAAGACAAATACCATATGATTTCACTCACATGTAGACTCTAATGAACAAAATAAGCTAACAAACAAAATAGAAACAGACTCATAGATACAGAGAATAGACTGACAGCTGTCAGAGGGGAGCAAGTAGGGGGGCTAGGTGAAAAAGTTAAATAGATTAAGAAAAATAAAAGCCTCATAGACACACACACAATATAAGTTTTAGGAGGGATTGAATAATATTTATAAATTACAGTCTTTTAGCACTATTGAAAAAATATATTGTTCAATGCCTACCTGTTTTCATTTTAAGAAGACATTTAGTATACACACATACACATATATGTGTATATGTATTTCTGCGTGTATACATACATATGACACTTTACAAACTATACAAACATTTCAACTTTAAATTGGTTGACAGATATCAACAATGATGTTTAGGTAGCTCATTTTCCTTATTTCAGTAATGTCCGAACCATAGGTCCAATTCTAGGCAGCTGTGTTTGTGTTCTTGATGATATCTAAGAGAGTAAAACTGTGATTTACAATGTCAACACATTTCTCTCTTTTTCTTCTCTCCCTCATTTATTCTCAAAGAGAGTACTTATCTCCAGCATCAGGCTTCCAGAGTTTACAGTTCCGACTATTAGAAAACAAGTTGGGTATTTTTCAGAGTTTAAGAGTCCCTTACAACAGGAGACATTATCGTGATAACTTCAAAGGAGAAGAAAATGAACTGCTACTGAAGTCGGAGCAGGATAAAACACTTTTGCAACTAGTGGAGGTACAGGCTCAAATACTATTTCTAAGATCTACATACATCTTTTTAATTTAGCTTCTGCTAGATAAGAATTGTACAACTAATATCAAAGTTTGGTCACATTAATTGTAAATAAGAACATAAACAATTTATAAAATGCTTAAATTTATAAATTTAACTAAAGTATTTAGATATGAAGAACTTTCTTGAGAATTTTAGAAACATTATATATAATAAAAAAAATTGTGCACTGGCCAGGGGGGTCCCTCAGCCCAGCTTGCCCCCTCTCATAGTCCAGGAGCCCTCAGGGGATGTCCTACTGGTGGCTTAGGCCCACTCCCCAGGGGCTGCAGACTGGCCTCCCTCTGCTGGAGGCAACCAGGCTGATCAGGGGAAGGCGCCATCCCCATCACCCCCACTGCTGCTGCCACTGCTGGCCGTCGCAGCTGCCAAGGTGTTTTCATCAACACGGACTCCAATCCCTTCACCACGAAAAAATAACAACTTTCTTTAGGCATTTTCAAGATGTCTCTTTCATAGGATATGAAATTTCTTTCTTTTTTCTTTTTTTTTTATCCTCACTTGAGGATATTTTCCCATTGATTTTTAGAGAGCATGGAAGAGAGAGGGAAAGACTGAGCGAAACATCAATGTGAGAGGCACACTTCAATTGGTTGCCTCCTGCATGAGCCCTGACCTGGGCCCTGGCCAGGGAGGAGCCTGCAACCTGGGTACATGCCCTCGATCAGAATCAAACCTGGCCCCCCTGTGGGTTTGTGTCCACTCTGCTCCAGCCCCAACAGCCCAGCGCCACGGCCGTGGGGCTGGGGCTGGGGGCCGGCCCCTCTGCGGGTTGTTTTCTCTGGTCTGGAGCCAGGCACAGGCTGCCCTGTCTGTTGTTCTCTTGGGCTCTGGGCCACCCTGTCTGTTGTTCTCTCAAGCCCCTCCTCCTTAGCTGGCCATGACCATTACAGATCCTGGCCTAATTTGCATATTACTGTGTGGTGATCATGTGTGTTTTTGGCATTCTTCCTCACCCCTTAAATAGAAAATTGAAGAATAAACACCCTGTGGGCTACTCACAAAATGGCAGTCATCAATACAGCAGCATCTTCAGGGACATAGGAGAAACAACCTGAAATTAGCCCAAATAAGCCCTCTTCCTATATTATTTATTTATTGATGAGAGAGAGAGAGAGAGAGAGAGAGAGAGAGAGAGAGAGAGAACAGCTTATAAAGATAGGAATAGAAAGAATCAGAAAGCTAATTTCAAACCCAAATGAGAACCCACAGGGATGTATGAATTAGGTTTTATTTCTGATTAAAAAGTCTTGTGGAATATTAAAATAATTGAATAGTAAGTGTATTTCCAAGTTGCTAATTATACCATGCTCCTGCATTTAGAAGAGATCATATATTATACATGTTTTAATTCCTTCAGATCTTAAGAATAAAGTACTTTGAGAATAAACCAGACACTTCATTAAAACAATATTTACATATGTTCATAGATTTCTAGAACAAAATTGGGATTTTTGTAATATTTCTTTTTAAATATATATGTGTACATATATATATTATTGATTTCAGAGAGGAATGGAAGGGAAAGAGAGAGAGATAGAAACATCAATGATGAGAGAGAATCATTGATTGGCTGCTTCCTGCACGCCCCCTACTGGGAATGGAGCCCGCAACCCTGACATGTGCCATGATGGGGAATCGAAACACAACCTCTAGATTCATAGGTCGATGCTCAACCACTGAGCCGCTCCGGCCAGTCATAGTTCTTAATAAATAAAGATTAAACAGCAGTAATATGATTTTATTAAAAAGTAAGAAATTGAATAGAATAGATTTCTATTTTTAAGTGAAGAAATTGAAGGGAAAGAAAATGTTTACACACAAAAAGTACCTTATTATATATGTTTCTCAAAACCATGAAAATATTCTGTTTCAAGTTCATAAATATTAGTTTAATGTATCTCACCTATTTAAAATTTTACAATATATTAACTTAAAAATAATGTTTACTTAAGGCATGGCTGGAAAGAACACCAGGTTTAGAGAAACATGGATTTAACTTCTGGGAAAAGTTGGAAAAAAATATTGTTAAAGGCCTGGAAGAAGAATTCAGTATGATTCAGGTATTTATGATGCCTTAAGTAAATATAAGTTTACTATAGAAAAAAGTATTGAAAATTTTATTTTAATAATTCTCCACTTATCTCTTAAACTTACATTTTTTCTTATTTTTCTTTCACAAAAGCATATACTTAGAATATGTTACATGATTGATTTAATTTTATTTAGATACAATAAAAATTAAATTAAGATTTCATTATAAGCAAGAGTTTCTTTGATAAATAGATGAGGTTAATATACCTTTTTTATTTCTATTGAACATTTCAAGATTATGACTAATTCTAGACAGAAGTAGGCTCACAAAGGCCCAGTTCTTCCTATTGGTTCTCAGACAATGTCAAGTTTCTCACTTAAGAAAATATTGTTGATTTCTTGATTCCACATTTCCTTCAAATTACAGGCCTTTCTTCCTTTTTTCATGACTAAATTTCTTGAGGAAGTTGTCTAATTCTATGATTTGAGAGGCTTTATCAGTAGTGCTTAATGTCTTGAAGTCACACTGCATGTGTTCAAGTTCCACCTGCACTTCTTAATTGTGTGACATTGAACGTCTTTGACTTAACTTCTCTTTGCTTCACTTTCATCATTGATACAATAGAAAATAAGAGTATCTACCTCATAGGATTATTATGAGCATTAAATTAGATTAATACTTGTAAAGTGTTTTTAGAACAGTAGTTAGTATAATTATTCCTTTATTTCTCATCCAATCTTCAACTCAATCCAGTCTGTCTTCTTCTCCCATCATTCACAAATAACCTCCATGTACATAAATCCAACGGCCATTTTTTATCTTCACTTATCTTGAGCTAACAGTGACGTTCAGTACTAATGGCTATTTACCTCTTTTTTGAACATTCCCCCCACCCTCTTGGATTTGGTACACAATATTTTAACTTCTAATTTCTCCGCCTCCATTACTGGCTCATTAGACAAGTAAATGGTGGGATTTCCCAACTCATTGGCTTATAGCCTTTGTGTCCTTTGTCTATATTATTTCACAACATTAACTAATTTATACTCATTGCTTCTATAGCTACTTATACACCAGTGATTCTCAAACAAATACCTCTAGTGTAGATATCCTCTTAAATTTCAGATCATATACTTAACACCTTAATTTATATTTCCTCCTGGTCCTCTCAAACATACACTGATTAAAAGAAAAAAAAAATTCCCTTTCATCCACTCCTGTATCTACTTGGTCTTCTCCAAGTTTTTCTCCTAGTGTGTCAAGTCAGACTGGTACTATTGGTCCTTGGTAAGTCCCTCTTCCTCAACTGACTTCATCAAGCTATCACCAAATGCTATTGGTTTAACCTTCTAAATAGTTCTCAAGAATCTCTCTTTGATCTACCACCACCCATCAAGTGCAGACTGTCATTGTTTTTCACCTAGACTAAAGTCATATTCTCTCAAGTATTTGACAAGGCTTACAATATGGCTCCATTCCAATTTATTGTCCACACTGCAGTTTTGACTAATCTTTTCAAAATGCAAATCTAGTCACATTTGACCTCTGCATAAAACACTTTGATGTTTTCCCATTGCTTTCAGCATAACAATAAAAATCCTTAATATAATCTTCAAGGCATTTTTTGATCTTTTGTGGGCCATACTGAATTTCCTTTAGGCTGAATTTAGTTCTTTGAGTTTACCACCAGTCTTTTTATGTTATTTTCTGGGTTTGGAGTATTCTTCCCCAGGTAACTTCTTTTCATTCTTTGCTCTTGGCTCAAGGAAAACTTCAGGAAGGCCTTTTCTGACCCCCTTACAACTATGCTATCATGGCACTATACTGCTTCTGTATACCACTATGGCATGGGACACTCCTGAGTGTTCAACATTTAATGTTCAGGTGATTATTTGTTCTACATCTTATTCCCACCACATAATATGTTGCATAAGATCATGGGACTCAATTTTTGCTCACTATTTTATCACTTGTGCATGACATTTACTAAAAAAAGGAATATGTAATATTTCCCAACTCATTGGCTTATAGCCTTTGTGTCCTTTGTCTATATTATTTCACTACGTTAACTCATTTATACCCACTGCTTCTATAGCTACTTATACACCAGTATATTGGCAATAGTGTGCATATAACTTTTTAACAGTTTGATTCTTCTGAGGACTTGAAGATAATTGGGTTAACTAATTTTTGCTTCAGCTTAATTAATTGGCTTATAAATAGAGCATGTGCTGTAGGCAGAAAAATAAGAATTTTCTTAAACAAATCAATTGATATGAAAAGAATAAAAATAAAAGTGTGAAATATATCTAAGAAATTATATTTGTAGGGTATAATACTGAATATAAAATTTCAGTAGCATTAATAGTTTTCTCAACTAGGAATCATTAATTTTCCTGAGTGTAATAACCTTACTGTGATAAATAATTTTTGTCAAATATTTGAACATATTGACCACTTGTATCCAGTTATACCCACCTGAGCCCAGGACTCATGATCTTTATTAAGATAATGTTTAAGATTGATAAATCAGTTAAATTGAACTTAAAGGATAGAACCAGTGACTATGAGGAAGACCCCTTCTCATAAGCCATAATTTCCAAGTTGTAATATTAGATGAAATGGTAAATATCCCAAGTACACCTTTTCTGCACCTGGCAAGTCTACTTCTTGAGGCAATGTTTTCTAAAATTAGAATCTATTCTCTGTTGTGGGAATATTAATGAAGCATTTTCTCCAAAGGCTAAAAATGAATCAGAGGAAAAGGAGGAACAAATGGCTGAATTTCACAAACAAAAAGAGGTGTTACTCTTATTATTTGATGAGAAACGCCATGAGCATCTTCTTAGTAAAGGTAGGTAATTTTATTCTTAAGGATTGTTTCTTGGCACTGTACTATTATGGCATCCAGTGATGGCAAACCTATGACACGTGTGTCAGAGATGACACGTGAAATCATTATTTTGGTTGATTTTTCTTTGTTAAATGGCATTTAAATATATAAAATAAATATCAAAAATATAAGTCTTTGTTTTACTATAGTTGAAAATATCAAAAAATTTCTATATGTGACACGGCACCAGAGTTAAGTTAGGGTTTTTCAAAATGCTGACACGCCAAGCTCAAAAGGTTCGCCATCACTGATGGCATCAAAGATCAAATTCCACTTAAGGAAATAAAATGAAAATTGATATTCTACTCTTAGAAACAAACATTGGTTAGTGTTATCTATGAGAACATTACATTAACAATTTTAAATGACCATTTTATCTCAAACACATTGGTAGAAACTGTCATGATATGTCAAATATGAGGGATACCAAGGTACATGGAAAATGGCTTCTCAAGTAGTTCAGAGCCATATGTATATATGTAGATATTCCCAAAAATGTATACAAATTTTGAATAATTATAAAGTTAGTGTTATTAGAGCATACAGTTCATTTTCAAAATTTAAAGAATCCACAGAAATGAATCATTTTTTGTCAATGCCTGTTTTCAAATTGATGACCATTCTGGTCCAGGCACTGCTGATAACTCAAAGCAATGGAATCCCAAACATCAAAAATCATTTTGTTTGGTATTTGTGTGCCCTCAATTTGTCAACTGTTGCTGGTATTGTACTGTAAACTTTATCTTTTATGTATCTCCATTAAAAAAATATCTAGTGGAACATTAGGATACATTTTTTGTGTTCAAAGCTTAGTCTGGTTTCACCCATTAGTTCAAATAATTTAAAATTGAAAAGGAGTGAAAATTAAATGTTATCAGCTATTAAAATTTTTTGAACATCCTATATATACTAGTATTTCAGTCTGCCTTTTAAAATGCAATATTAAAACATTGTTTTATGTGATATTTTCCAAATATCAAGCTAAGGGATAAAATTTTAAACTAAAACTTACATTGCTTTCTAAAAACATATAACAATTATGTAAGGTGATGGTGTCAAATTAATATGACTACCTTAAATGACCTATTAAATTAAAACTTGCTATGTATTTTGCAGGTGAAAGACGACTCTCATACAGAGCACTTCAGGGGGCCTTGATGATATATTTTTACAGGTAAAAGCAAATTAGAAGAGAAACAGAAGTTAAAATTGAGGATTGGCTATAGATAATGTATCAAATATAAAGCTTATAAATTTCAATCATAGTTCTATTAAGTTATTTTGTTTTGATGGAAAGCTTAGAAAATAATTAATTGTGAGAGTTTCATGAGGTTTTCTTTCTTTTAAATAGTAAAAGCTTAACTTTATCTCTGTAGTTGGTTTAAAAAAAACCCACTCAAATTAATAAAAAATTCTTTTTATAATTTTATAATGTGACTAGAGGCCAAGGGCATGAAATTCGTACATTTGAGGGGCGGGTCCCTCAGCCCGGCCTGTGCCCTCTTGCAGTCCGGGAGCCCTTGGGGGATGTCTGACTGTTGGCTTAGGCCCACTGCCCATGGGGAGCAGGCCTAAGCCAGGAGTTGGACATCCTTAGCGCTACTGCAGAGGCAGGAGAGGCTCCCGCCACTACTGTTGTGCCCACCAGCAGTGAGCTCAGCTTCTGGCTGAGCGGCACTCCCCCTGTGGGAGCACACTGACCACCAGGGGACAGCTCCTGCATTGAGTGTCTGCTTTCTGGTGGTCAGTACATGTCATAGTGTCCAGTCGACCTGCCATTTGGTCAATTTGCATATTAGCCTTTTATTATATAGGATATTAAATGTCCAAAAAGACCACAGTGCAATCTGCCTGAAAAATTTAGTCATGAAAAGTGTTCCATCATTAAACAATGTTGTAGAATTATCTCTCTTTAGAATAACAACATAAACAAAATCTTTTGACTCTTTTCCTAAACTCTTACTAAATGTATGCCACTCAAGTTTATGTATATTAAGCAAAAAATATATTGAGTTGCCCTAACCGGTTTGGCTCAGTGGATAGAGCATTGGCCTGCGGACTCAAGGGTCCCAGGTTCAATTCCAGTCAAGGGCATGTACCTTGGTTGCAGGCACATCCCCAGTAGGGGGTGTGCAGGAGGCAGCTAATTGATGTTTCTCTCTCATCAATGTTTCTAACTCCCTATCCCTCTCCCTTCCTCTCTGTAAAAAAAATCAATAAAATATATTAAAAATATATATATATATATATTGAGTTAGTTGAAGGATTGGATAAAGAGAATATATACATTACATATTATATATATATATGTGTATATACATATGCAGTATTTATTTTGTTTTTTAATATCTTTGTCTGGAAAAAGTTTTTTACTCTATTAGCTGGGAAATCTGAGATAGGGTATCTGACTGCCTTTTAATGAGATTCGATATTAGGTGTGACTCTGGCTGGTATATATATATATATATTACATGGAATATTCTAGACTCTTTAAACAAATGCTGTAAATTGAGGGGTAGTATCCCCATTTTTGAGATGAAGAAATAAGACTGATTGGGTAATACAGAGATGATGGCACAATTCCTAAGAGCAAAGTTGATATGTGTTTCCAGCGCCAACAGATGATAAAAGCCATGCACTTCCTAACACACTGGATTTGCTTGAATATATTCCTTTGTTTTATTTCTCCTTTAGGGAAGAACCTCGATTCCAGGTCGCTTTCCAGTTGCTGACTTCTCTTATGGAAATAGACACACTCATGACCAAATGGAGATGTAAGTCCTCCCCCTCCTCTCCCCCCCCTCCCCCCCAGCTCCAACCCTATAACTCTTCTCCTCTGATCTGGTTCCTTTACTCCTTTTCTCCTGTCTGCCCTCTTTCTTGCTCTCTCTTTTCTTCCATCTTTTGTGTGATTTTCTTTTCTTTTTTCTTTTTCTTTTTTAATCAGCTTCACAATTATCCTCCCCAAGGGTCTATTCATCCAATGCACAAGTGGCACAGTACCTAGAGCCCACAGTAACATTGGGAGCCCATTTAGATATTTTATTTGGCCTGGGAATATCGGGTGCTGTAGGCTTTAAAAAAAGATATTTTATTTGATAATCAGAAGGAAAAAATAAACTTTAGGTCCAAGGAAAATTTTTAAATATATAATAGTAATTTATTTATTTTTATGACAATACAATTCAAAAATGTAAGAAACCCAGAGAAGCAAAATAACCAGAGCTCATTAAAATTGAACTATGGCCCCACTCTTTCCTATGCTGTTTATAGGCTAAATGTAAATATGGATGGAGTCAAATGGGGTGCTGAACCAAGTGGGGTGCCAGGCAACCTGCTGGCCTCATGTGGCTCTCACAGGTGAACCTTCCATATGGCTAAGTGATAAGGGGTGAGCCTTTTTCTCAGAAGCAATCATCATTATCAACTCCTGGTTTTAGAAAAATATTCATGGAGTTACTTTGTGTGTTTGCCTAGATAACCACGTGTGCCTGGTGCACAGGATGCTGGGCACCAAAGCCGGTACTGGTGGGTCCTCAGGCTACCAGTACCTGCGCTCAACAGTGAGGTAAGATGGGGGAAATGCACCTTTTTATCTTGGTGGAAATCACCAAGGTTTTGTTTCTCTATGTATATGTGGCATTATCTAGGAAAAGTCATTTATACTTGCTCTTTTCTGCGGACAACACATTTGTAGTGAGATTAAGACATTCCTATTAGAACTTTTGGAGATCATCGTATAAATTCTTAGTTCTGGAAGTTTATTATTTTCATCTTGTGATGAACAGGGTCATGGTACCAATGCCTGTGAGGGCATGAAAGAGTCAATACAGGTAGAAAATGTCAACTCATTCTGGCTCAAGTTTGGACTAGATTAAAATAGTTATCATTAAGTCCACTAATGTACTCTTGGTGAGATGAGTGATCCAGCTAAATATATAGTTTCTTATTTCCTGATAGGACTCTATATTATAGAATGAAAACTACTTCTATCTACTCCAAGGAGTGCCCTTTTCAAATTTTTACAAGAAAAGAGTCAATGTTTACTGAGCATTTAAAACATGGTAGAGATATTTCTAGGATATTTGTGTTCTTATTTTATTTAATATTCACAGCCTTATAGATAGAAGGATACATAGATAAATGCATCCAAAAACTGAGAAACTTACAAGCCCTTTGAGAAAAGATAATCAGATCAAGAACATGTTATATAGTCCCCTTTAGTCTCCAAAATTCCTTATAGTGCATTGTTTTTATTCCTAATTGTACCACCAAATTGGCTAAGTTATAAAATGCACAGGTTCAATTTTTCATCATTTTTATACTTCCACTTTCCCTGGGAAGAAACACTAGGTTGAATGATTTAGAAAATTCATTGGTATAAATTTTCACAACCATTATATATTTTCTCTTTCCCGGAATAAGTTCTGTAAATATCTAAGAAAAAATGATTGTGCAAAATGAGCACACACATCAGTGGTGGGAATAATTAATGCTAATTAACAGCATCTCTAGTGTGTCATTATCTCATCAAATCTTCACAAAGGCCTGGCCAGAGGCAAGGATTGTAGTTTTTATTTTAGAGAGTTAGAAACCAAGACAATGAAGTTTAGACAACTCATCCAAGGTTGTAGGAGTTGCAAGTGACAGAACAGAATTTGAACCCAAATTTGACTTCAAAAGCAAATGCTCTTCCACTATAAAACTGCAACAGTTAAAATAGTTGACTAACAAACACAAAAGCAATTTTTAGTGTCAAGAATATTCTGTTGGACACATTATAAGTCTAAGATGGCATTTCGATTTATAAATTCATTTATGTCAGTTACTTGGCAGCTACTTTTCAGGTGGGAAATATTTTCTAATGAAGGACTAAAAACTCTGGATGCTTTAATTTTATTATTTTGCATACTGTTCTTTAAAAGTTCGACATGAGACAATAATAAGTGTAGGTTTTAATTTGAACCAGCCTGGTCGGATCATAATATGGTCTATATGGGCATGAACTTTGGATAAAAAATAAAAAATGGGGCAATCTTAATACTAATAGCACTTAATATAATATGATATATACAATATGTAATATTAAATATAATATTGAATACTAGTTATTCATGGCAAAATATTGTTTGAGAAATAAAATTAAAATTTTAAAATATTTCATTTCAACAAATCTAAAACATCTGTCTATGTTTTTCCAGTGATAGGTACAAGGTATTTGTAGATTTATTTAATCTTTCAACATTTCTGATTCCCCGACACTGGATACCGAAGATGAACCCAATTACTCGTAAATTTCTTTACACGACTGAATATTGTGACAGCTCTTACTTCAGCAGTGAAGAATCAGATTAAAATTATCTGCAAAGTCTATGAAGAGCACTGATTTCTGTGGGGTTTTTCCTATGGATTTTCATGAATACACAGACTTCTAAGATAATATATGTATATATGTAGTAAAACACTGTGGTGCTCTGATTCAACCCTGGAAAGAATTTTATTTCATTTATTTGAATGTTTAAGATGTTTAAGATAAGACTAAGCATTTCTGTGATGATACAAAACACTAAGAAATGAATTCAGTGACACTGTTACATTGTACATATGGTCTTTTCCTATTAAAAATGTATTTGTCCTCTGACACTTACCTTAATGTAACCATTTAACCTAATCATTATCTCCTTGTTCCATATTTTATAAGCTTGTAAACTTCAGCTACAGTGGGGCCTTGACTTACGAGTGTCCCGACTAACGAGTTTTTTTGAGATACGTCTCTCGGCCGATTCTTTGCTTTGAGTTGCAAGCTCAAAAAAATTCGGGTTACAAGCCAGCTTCAGATACCCCACCGCTAGTTGGCGCAGCGAACGTCACAGTGATTTGACATACGAGTAATTTGAGTCATGAGCTCCGTCACGGAATGAATTAAACTCGTAAGTCAGGGCCCCACTGTATTTAAAATATTTAATGGAATAAAATGTGTCATTCTATATAAACTTATTCAATAAAAATTTTTGAGTAATAAAAATTATTCTTTCTTTAATATATTAGTTTGAAAACATTTATTAAGACACTTGGCGAGCAACAGAAATCTATGTGAAGCTTGTCCAAAGGGCATTCACTGGACAGTCACTCCAGTAGCGTAAAGAACTAGAGGAGCCAGTGGAGCTCTAAGGCCACAGGGGTGGAGCCAGTTCCTCAAGTACTTTCTTCCTGGAACACTCTGAGGATCCTCTGTGTCTCATCTCTTCTCTGCAGGTGCTGGCTTTATTGTTCCCTGATGTAGACCCACTCCTCCTCCCACAGGTTGGGTCTCAATCCTAGCATCTCTCTACTCCCAGAAGGGCAAAGTCACTCTTCTCAGAGTGACTGTATCCAAAGTCACCCACGGCTGTGGTCTGGGAGGTACAGTCTACTCCAGTGCACAGCAGGTTTGAGGTAGGGATGAGCGTTCCCTCAAGTGAAGAATGTTCTTTCCAGGAGAAAGAAAGGGGAGGTAAACAGACTAAACAATGACCCAGTTCATTGCTAGTAACTATTAGACTAAGCATTTGGATCAGACATGAGTTTTAGCCCTCTTTTTTTCTAGCTTGCTCTGGATATTGGCAACATTTCATTAAATTTTTCTATGAGGGGAGTACAAAATATTATCAAAGAAATCTAAAATGTCTAACTTTGACCTAGGGTAGCAAGTTCTTGTTGGAATTGAACTATTCTTTAGTCTCAATTACACATTTTTTTCTCATAGAAGATCATATTGCTTTTGCCTACAGGGCATGTGTGTGTGTGCGCACATGTACATAGTACCTGGTGATAGTTAAGCTGGAAAAAAAAAGAGATGAGTAACATGGTAGCTAAATCAGCAAATTCTGTCTCTGCCATTTTTTAACTAATTACTTTGCTGCAAACACTAGGTTAAGCCCGTTTCCTATCTATTTTTAATGGAGATAAAATTCTCATAATCTGTGCTTTTTTCATAAAGTAATGAATATATTAATATTCATTAATATATTAATAGGTGTTCTGTCACCAAGATAGCTTGGAATCAATGCTATTTGTCAAGGTTTATTCCTTTAACAGGCTAAATACCTTAATTTAATTATTTTCACCTATATTTCTTGGTGTTACAAAGCTAAATAGTTTTTTTCCAAAGGATATATTAGTAATTCTTAATGTACATATCAACACAATTTGCAATGCCAGTTTCTACCCTTGTCTCCATTCATCAAACTTGCTTCTAGTGCTGACAATTCACGTTAAATAATAACTCTTAAGTGGTCACAAAGTAATTGTAAGGTTGCTCAATTTGGTATTCACTTTCAGGTCTTTGTGAAATCATATCCAGGGACATCTTGGTCATTTTCATTATGAAGCCTAATTATTATGTGAAGATTTTTTTGCTTTTGTCTTAGCCTCCTTGGGTGAACTCCAAGTAGTCTGTGATGGCTGGAGCACAGCTGCTGTCGATGTAGAAGAGCGGAAACTGAGCTGAGAAGGTAGAGAGGGACTTCTCCATGAGAGCTCATTTAAAAGAGTTAGCATGTTATCTTTGAAGCAACAGGAGAGTAACTTGCTAACATTCTCTTTAAGAAATGTAAATCTTGGATTATAAGGACACCCATCAGAATCACCTGCAGGGCTGATTAAAACGAAGTGTTTCCCAAAGCCTCAGGTGTCTTCTGGTCTGGAGGCTATACTTTGAGGACCACTAGTTTCAGGAACATGGGTTTACTGGGTTGACTGCTAAACGGTGGAGATGTAGATACTAAAGAACATGCATCCGAAAAGGAACAGTAGAAATGGAGAGGAGGCAGGTGACTAGGTGATCAGCTACTAAGGTATATCTGACTGATTAAATATCTAAGATGTCCCTCAATTTTACTGATTGGGTGATTACATAATGTTGATGCCATTAACCAAAATAGAGACTCTAGGAGGTGTGGGAGGTATTTTTGTTGTTGTTGTTGTTTGTTTGTTGTTGTTTATTGGAGACACTGAGGTTAAAGTGTCTGTGGAGAAAACCAAAAAGTAAGTATGTGGATTTGGAACTGAACAAACTCTTGTGTGAGTGCAAAGCACATTAACATTGTGCTCACAAAATGTAAGCCATGCACTTCTGGACACAGTCTTCTTAACCCAAAGTCAAATATAGGTTGTTTTATTATAAATGTCATCAAAATTCAGAGCAGCTGAGAAATATTACTTTGTAATAAAAAATGTTTAGTATTTGAAAAAGAGTATCAAAAAAGCATTTATGTTACATAGAAATAAGTAAATGAACACAAATACAATCCCATTTTGGTAAACTTAGACAATAAGAATATTAATCAATTAAACTATCAATGTTTGTCTTCCTGGAGCATTTCTAAACCTGAGTCAACACATAATCTTTTGATATTGGTTCTGGTTGGTGTAAGAAAAAGCAATGCAGTGTTTTGTTTTTTTATTTTACTTTTCTAATAAAAAGAATGGATAACTAAAAGCAAAAAGGGAAAAAAAGGAAAAATAGGATGTTCTCAATTATTTCAGTGGTTGCTGCTACATTTAAAACTTTGTGGGGTTTTTTTGTTTGTTTATATATTTTACATTAGAAAGTGACCATGAATTTTAGAGAAGAAATACTTACATATGTAGTATTTATTAGATTTTCTTATATTTTCATATAACTCATTTAATATAGTTGTAAAATCAAAAGATCAGCTCTTCTGCTCTGAGGTTCTTACACAGGCACACATAATTACTTAGGCAAGAGAGAGAACATGGGCATGAAGAACCAGGAACCAGGTCAAAGCCAAATGGATGCACACACAAAAAAAGTAGTTAGAATGGGATTCCTGGAAATATAAGCAGAAAACTGAAAAACAAACAAACAAACAAAACAACCACACACACACACACACACACACACACACACAAAACAGAGAGCCTGAGAAACTCACATTCTGGCTAATACCCCAGATTAATGGCAGTAGACTTTGAAAGGGGTGTTGCCTACAAACGATGGGAGGAAGAGAAAGGTGAGCGCCCAATGTTGGTGGCTTAGATGAATCAAAAGAAATAAAGACTTCTTAGCCAGGGAAGTCAAACCACCAGGAGAATTTAGAAGTGGCCCAGTAAAGAGTAAGAGAAAGAGAGTAGGAAAAGGTGGAAGAAAACATTGTCCTTCAATATAAAGAGATCAAAGTAAGGAAATGAAGTCTATTGGAATCCTATTGACAATGAAAATTGCGAAATAATAATCTTTTCTCAGGCGATGCTAGTTGAGTTCTTCTTATCACATAATTGCCATATAATTTATTGTCATTTAATTTCCATCTCTTAAAAAGTGATCTTGTCCTTTTGTTTTTTACTTCACGATCTTTCTACGATTCAAGGAGTAAATACTATTTGTTGAGGTAAAGCTATTGGTATTTCAAAATCCTTATGACATTTCAACTCAGAGGGCTAAGAGTATAATTGTGAGAGGCACACATAACTTTAGGTTGGCTGTTCTTGTATGTAGGGGTAAGCTAAGGCAGTAATTATATCCCACAAGGAAAATAAATTCTTATCAGCTCTTTAATGACATTGAAAATAAACAAATAAAAAACAAACAAAAACAGCAATTAAACAAAACCAGATAATAGCCTCTTCAAAGTAAAGAGACCTAAAATATCTTAAACTAGCATTCACTCCGGAGTAGGAAACTGTTTCCCAGGCCATGGTGCTGGTGTTCTTCTTACTGACTATGTTGCCCATCTCTTTATAAGAAGGGGACATGCCATAACTCGGCTTAAATACTACTAGGCCCTAGAACCTGTTGTGGTTAGTTGCTAAAACCTAAAGGTGAATAATGCTGAGAATGAAGTACCATGCTATATTTCATTAGGAACCTTCATTTTGGTAGTTGTCTCTTGATTCGATCAATTAATCATACAAATACGGCAGAAACAAAATCTGCAATACCTAAGAAAAAAGAAAGTATTAATAAGAGTCTATTTCTTCTTTATATGCCTTGTAAATAGCAAATTAAAACAATGTTCATTTGGGTTCAGAAAAAGTTAGCAATTACTGAGAAAATTAGCAGTTATAGCTGTCAGTATAAACATGGCAATTTAAAAGCAGATATTGGAAGATATAACTAATATTTTTGTTTCAAGAAACTACAAAAACACATACACAAAAACACATAAAATGACTTACTAACTGAATAGGTAAAGGTATGTGCACTCTTTACTACATATATATAGTTTAGAGATGATATAATAATTTACAGAAATATCTTAAATAAAATTTGAAAATTCAAACTTTTAAGACTTGAACTTTAATTAGCAAAAATTCAATAAATCACGTGTACTATGCTTTCTTAGCACACAAGAACATAAATCTCAATACTGCGGTGAAAGCAATAAATAGCTCATTCAAGACTGGATTTCATTGTAAATAGCTATATTTTTGAAATCTCTCGGGGCCATGAAATGCTATTTATCTTAAACCATTGTTCTTAAGAGTCATGTCATCACCAAATACTTTCACCATTGTTCTTAAGAGTAATGTGATCACCAAATATTTTCAGGAAGAATTTGGACTCTGTGTAATTACTAACTAGTCACGCATTTGGAGAATCAAATTGGGAAACAGAGAGAAGAAATTATTCCAACTCATCCTCAGTAGAGCTGGGGGCCAGGGAAAAGGTGGTAGTGGGGAATGCAGAGTCATAATCGAGGCAACTATGAACCAATGTCTGAATTATGTTCTTGTAACTCTCCTGCCAGAGCTTTTTTTTAAATGTATATTTTTATTGATTTCAGAGAGGAAGAGAGAGGGAAACATCAATGAGAGAGAATCATTGACTGGCCGCTTCTTGCACACCCCGCACTGGGGATGGAGCCTGCCACCCAAGCAAGTACCCTAACCAGAAATCGAACGTACCTCCTGGTTCTTAGGTGGAAACTCAACCACTGAGCCAGGCTTTGAAAACTGCCACCTGTTAGCCCAGACCCAGGCATCATAGTTAGAAATAATTTATGTTTAGTTTCAAAGGTTCAATGAATGGCAGGAGTAATTTATCTGGATGTTCTAGCAATGTAAAAGCCCCAAATGATGTTATAAGGTGGGGCCTTGATTGGGTTGCTAGCACTTTGGCTTAAAGATTTCTATGATGTTTGTTCTCTTCAATAAGTAATTGATGTAAATATTTTACTGGGGTGATAAAACAGGCCATTTATGAATTCTCATGAATTCTACTTTATGGAACCATTAGGTAGTACTCACTAACTGAGTCAAAACATAAACTCCCAAACCTTCTATAACTCTCCTTTATCAGTCTCACAGTTTATAGTGTTCTACAATTTTTTAAAAAAGTTATTTGTATGCTAGAAATAATTATAGTGAGAAAAGTAAACTATTGCTCTCATATGCAATATAGTTTCATTCTAACTTTATTCAGAAAATATGTTGATTTTTCAGATCAAAAATTGTAGAAGACAGGTTTGGATATAAGTTTTAGAATACAGTTTAAAGTACTTACCTAGCTATGTTAATTTGGTTTATGGTTAACACACAAAAAAAAACTGTTATTCTATAAAAGAGCACATTTGGTATTTGCTTAAGCTTCTCTATTCATGGGTGCTATATTAGAATTTTGAAGGTAAAGAGGAGAATATTAAATCAGAAACAATCCTAATACTTTTTTCATACATTTCATAAATTTTTATCCAAAGAAAAAAAGTGATGCTTGACAATCTTTGTGCAAGTATTATTAATGCACAAATTAAGAAAAACTCATACAGTTATAACAAGTAAAATTGGAACGAGGGGACTTTTTGGAGAACTTCAGCCTCCTAAGTTGAGTATTTTTAAATCCAAAAGCCTCTGGATTTTGAAGTAGTTAACTTTGGTAAATTATTAGTTTATCTTATTATGTTTTGCTTATTATATTTGTTTTTACTACAGTCTTTCTTCCTTTTTAAAGCATGAATATGTGCAATAGTGTCTCTTCTTTAAAAAACTATTCTATTTTTATCAATTATTAAGTGATGTGAGTATGTTGGAAACATACTATGGATTGGACAGGTTTATAATTTTAATATATTCAGAATATCTTCCTTGACACTTAGGCTGGAGCTTTAAACACAAATTCATGACTCACCGCAAATATTACTTCCCATTTTCACATGGGCATAGCCATCCACTCCCCAGGAACTTCCCCATGAGTTCCGTACAATCCAATATGGAGTAGTTCCTGCAAAACAAAAATTGGCAACAAACCCCGAAAAACTCATATTTGCGTGAATGCATGTTTACTTTATTTCTTGATCAGTGTTAGTAGCTTTAACAAAATGATTAAAACTGTAATAGAATGCTAACTTAAGCTAGCTAAGTAAACTTGAACTGTACTTAGTGCCACACTCCAATTATTGGAAAAAAAATGTTTGAATTCATTTCACTTAATACGGAACTTGCACAGAATGAAAACACACACACATTTCCAGGGCATTAGAAACAGGGAAGAATAATTGTTAGATATGTATGATAAAACAATAGGCACTTCTATTTTCCCAACAATTATCCTAAATACTTCAGATGGAAAATGCACATTATTTAAATCAGTAATTATCATCATTCTAACAAGTTATCCACCAAAATTGATAAGGAGGAACACAATGGGGTTATTTATACCCAGAAGTCTACTGAAAAGTAGTAAAGGTCTTAGGAGGACTTAGATATATGACCACATTTTAACTTTTTATATGCTTAAGGTGATTTGTCAATCACCTTAAGCTGAAAAGCAATCAATCAAGTCTTATCAGCACTTACCTGTTTTATCAAACCCAGTTATGATAATAGCATGATTTGCTTCTCCACTAGAGCAGTGATGCTGTATTATCCCTCCCAGATAATCTTGCCAGCTCACTGCATCTACTATCCCTACCAAAGGACCAAAGGTAAGGAGTGCTTTTGCCATTTCGTCTTCTTGGTCACTACCAAAAGAGAAAATATTTGGTTAAGGAGTTTAGTTTTTAAGGTAAGAATATTGTATTAAAACGATCTCTTTAATCTCTGTATGGATACACATAGGTTTGGTTGCAATTACAGAAGACTTAAACAATGGAGGCTACAAGAAGTCTGGGAGACTGGTAGTCCAGGACTGCAATAGATATCAAGAACCCAGGCTCCTCTTATGCTATTATTCTGCCATGTGAGGTGTCCATTCCCAAGTTCAATTAATGGTCCAAGATGGCTTCAGGAGCTCCAGCCATTTAACATATATTCCTTTCAGCAGGGAGTAGAAAGGAGAGGTGTTGCATTCCTGTTGAGAAGATTTCCCAGAAGTAACACACACATTCTGCATATGTCTGAATGGATCTCATTGGATAGAATTTAGTCATATGGCTAACTAAGTCTAGCTTCAAGGAAGATGGTGGCGTTTTGCAATTGGCTGGCATAGCGTCCAGCTATCACACAGGCACTTTTTAAATAAGGAAGGTGGGAAAACTATATGCCTCATCGTGGCAGATGCTGGGGAAGAACTTCCCACATCTTCTGGTCCTGACACTGGGCTTCCAACAAGGAAACCCTGCAACTCTTTACCCGAGGCCCTTCTCTCTCAAAAAGCCCACGGCCACTTAGACCCCAGCCATACCCTCAACTGGTAAATCTTAGGAGGTGATGAAAATCAACTTGCATTGGCTAACTCTGAGATTTATTTTACCTTGGCCTCAAGAGTTCCTCAGTAGGATCAAGTTCCAGCATACCCTCAGTACTAATTTGCTTAATAAAGAAACCCCGTTTTCCCCTGTTCTATCTCATCTCCTTATTCCTCTACCAGTGGTTCCCAGGGTCACTTTTACAGGTCCCAACTGAACTCTCCATATTCCATCTTAAATCTGTTCCTCAGACGTTCATGCCTCAATTCCATTCTTTCAGTCGTTCAGGCCAAAAAGTTTGTAGTCATCCTTGACTCTCCTACTTATCTCCTCTATAAAATTCCCCAATATATCTTGTGGGCTTTATTTTCTGTGAGTGCTATTACCCTATCATCTCTCATGTCCAAGGCTGTTTTTCTAGCACTATGGTTAAGGTGATTTGTCAATCACCTTAAGCTGAAAAGCAATCAATCAAGTCTTATCAGCACTTACCTGTTTTATCAAACCCAGTTATGATAATAGCATGATTTGCTTCTCCACTAGAGCAGTGATGCTGTATTATCCCTCCCAGGTAATCTTGCCAGCTCACTGCATCTACTATCCCTACCAAAGGACCAAAGGTAAGGAGTGCTTTTGCCATTTCGTCTTCTTGGTCACTACCAAAAGAGAAAATATTTGGTTAAGGAGTTTAGTTTTTAAGGTAAGAATATTGTATTAAAACGATCTCTTTAATCTCTGTATGGATACACATAGGTTTGGTTGCAATTACAGAAGACTTAAACAATGGAGGCTACAAGAAGTCTGGGAGACTGGTAGTCCAGGACTGCAATAGATATCAAGAACCCAGGCTCCTCTTATGCTATTATTCTGCCATGTGAGGTGTCCATTCCCAAGTTCAATTAATGGTCCAAGATGGCTTCAGGAGCTCCAGCCATTTAACATATATTCCTTTCAGCAGGGAATAGAAAGGAGAGGTGTTGCATTCCTGTTGAGAAGATTTCCCAGAAGTAACACACACATTCTGCATATATCTGAATGGATCTCATTGGCTAGAATTTAGTCATATGGCTAAGTCTAGCTTCAAGGAAGATGGTGGAGTTTTGCAATTGGCTTTTGCAATTATATCTCCTCTATAAAATTCCCCAATATATCTTGTGGGCTTTATTTTCTGTGAGTGCTATTACCCTATCATCTCTCATGTCCAAGGCTGTTTTTCTAGCACTCTGCTTTAAGTTTATTCCCGAATAACCATCTCCCACTAGTCTACTCCATTTTCTCTTCACTACAGTCACTGTCCTTTAAAAATGTCAGACATATTCTCAGGGCCTTTGCACTTACAGTTCCTTCTGCTTGGAATAGTATTTCCTCGGATATCTACTGGTTAAGTTCCCACACTTCTTCAGGTCTTTACTCAAATGGCATGTTCTCAGGGAGCCCTCCCTAGTCACCCTTTATAAAACTGTGTGCTCCTCTCCCCTCGCCCTGATGTTTCCTCTTCCTCCCAACTGTTTTATTTTGTCCTGTTTAGAAATTATTACATCTAACATACCATACATATTCTCACTTGTTTTGTTTTTTGCCTGTCTCTATCACTAAAATATAGTCCCAAGGAAGGGTTTCTGTCTGTTTTGTTCACTGCCGGACCCCATAACCTAAAAAAAAGTGTTCAGTAGCAATTTGAGTGAGTGAATGAAGAAATCAACGAAAGGTCTTGGCCAGTCTATCACAGTTAGCTTAGCATTGTATTATTAGAGAGTTTAATGTTCAGTGTAAACACAGAGATTCTTCGGGGGATCTCTCCCTTTTTAATCAAAAGGTTCGATAAATCCTGTTTCAGGCCAATTGCAGTGACCTTTGCATTCTTTCTCTCACTCTCCAACCCAGCCTATTGCCTCTTGTTCTTTTGTTTCTTTCTAACTTTCTCCATTAGCTACCCATGACAAGGGATTCCCTGAATCTTTTTCTAGTGACATTTTGAACATCTGATTCCTTCTTGCACACACACTTCACTTATACTCTCAAGGAGCTGAGAGCTCACAGAGGCACACTTTCTCATTTTAGAAACTGTGTTACCTTTGCCCACAAAGGAGATGTTGACCGCTGTACTCAGTGACCCTGCACCTTTTATTATAGATCCAGCACAGCCTGCCATCTGTGGAATTGAAACTTTCTGCTATATGGTTCCTGGAGTCCCCTGAGAGCCCCTGTTGTGGACAAGAGCTCTGCTGACAACCCGCCAAGCCTCTGACACACTTATGTTATTCACAGGGGTTCCATTTGCTTCAAGGGTCCAATTTCACCCTTGATTCCCTTCATATCCTATGGGCAGACACTATCTGGATGAAGAGATTCTTTTATATTCAGTACCAGGAACTTAGAGGTCCGTCTATCATCTCATCTGAATTTATTGTAATTTCTCTGTGTTCTGTTTCAAAAGACTGTGCAAAGCCCAGCCGGTTTGGCTTAGTGGGTGAGTGTCGACCTATGAACCAGGAGGTGAGGGTTCAATTCCTGGTCAGGGCATGTGCCCAACTGTGGGCTCAATCCCCAGTATGGGGGCATGCAGGAGGCACCAATCAATGATTCTCTAGCATCATTGATGTTTCTATATCTTTCTCCCTCTCCCTTCCTCTCTGAAATCAATAAAAACATATTTTTAAAAAAAGAAAGACTGTGCAAAGCTCCCTCAATATTTTAAACAATAAATAAATAAAGCCAGATTTTGGTTGAGTCTTTGTCCTTATCATCTCTGATCACTTATCTTGCATTATATTAAATGGCCACAATGGTTCTCTCGCTGGCTTTGAGAGCATTTTTAAATGATCGTTTCCCTTAAACCTGTCCAAAGTCAACATGCCCTTCAAGTTTTGACACAAATCCTCTTCCTCAGCCTATCCTTATCTACCCTCCAACCCCCCTGTGCTTATATAGGGCATACTACCCAATCGACCTCCAGTAATATAGTCCTAGTTTTTAATACAAAGTTTCAGTTTATGCCTTTAGTATACTGATGCCTTGAAAATGCAAGGAACACAGAGGTTGTTCCAAAATGCTTCTTGGTAAGCAGACTGCTTGCTATTAGCTGGAGCATCTATACAAGGCAATTTTCCATTGATTCAACAGAAAGATTGAAATATACTAATGGTATTTAGACACCTAAATTTGGTAAGAGGAAGGTGGTAAATATAAATTATACCTATCACTGGATTTAAATGTGTTAATTTAAGCTCATTTCTATTGTAATGACACTTTGAAACCTAAGTAGATCATGTTTGAGGAACAACATTCATAGCACTCCATGGTGATTGATAGTCTCTCTAGTAAAAAGTAGGTATGAAAACAATTATGAACATGCAGTGAAGCCTTCAATCAAGTTATTAATTCCAAATAGTCAATATATCATAAATTAGGACATAGGGAGAAAGCACAGTAGAATAAGACATTTACCTGAAATCATGTGCAGTATAACCTTTGATTGAAAATCCAGAATGTGAATCAGAAAAGTAATGGCACAGGCCATTCTGTTCTTTAAATGGGTATTCTGAATCTCTCACCAGTTTTACTTGCATCTAAAAGAAAACAATCACCCAAAGGGTTCTCTGTCAAGCAGTTGTTTTAAATAGAACTTGGTGCAATGTGTCATAATAAGATTCAACTTGGCCACACCTTCATCATGTGGGTATTCTTTGGGTAATAATAAGCTCTTAAATTCAATCTTTAGGTGTTGTTATGGATATCCTAGGTAATTAGAATCATTAGCTTCCATTCTCTTTACTCTTATTATTCCTAGATCTTCCTTCTTTGAACATCTATCAATCCAATAATAATAAAGCCTTGTCATCTTTCTCATCCTATATAATAAAGAGCTAATATGCTAATTAGACCAAACAGCAGAAGGACCTTCCAGACGACCTTCCAGGCAAAGCTGGGGCTGTGAGGTCCGAGCCCTTTTGCACGAATTTTGTGCATCGGGCCTCTAGTGAGGTTATAATAGGGCAACTGGTTCTATGTTAGTAAGTCTTTGAGACTCACTCAGCACAATGGTTTATGCACAGGCAATGGTCAGGTCAAGTTTTTTTTTCTATCCACTTCTCTCTGTGCCTTTCATTTGGCCTATGTCACTTAGTTTATAGTTGTTTATACACAGTCCTCCTTTTCTGAATGTTGGGCTTATGAAAGGGAGAAGACAGGCAACTCATTGTCGCCCATAACATAGAGAAGTTTTTTGGCATTCAGTGACTCAAATATAGCAAATGAATAAGGGAAGGATGTTTGAGTTTGGGAAACATTAGCTTGACAGCCTTTTAGAAAGTATAAAAGCACCTTCACTGGCTGGTTTCACACAACTGATGCTGGATCTAGGACAAGGTCAGAGAGTATCCTAAGAATGCTGAGGGATACTGACACTGAGGCATGGTGGGTAGGATGCCCAATGGGAAGCAGAGGACTATAGGTGCAATTCTGGCTCAGCTACTGATTTGGCAATATAATCTCACATCTTCATCTATATAAAGAGTTACTAAATTAGCTGTCCCTTTGTCCCTTTTAACCTTAATATTCACAAATTCTATGGAAATGGGTAATCATATGCTCATATGCTCTCCTTTCTGGGTCACTATGTGACATGTATCTGCAAAAACAAAACAAAAACAAAAAAATGCACAAAAAACACATTTACCTATTAAGAAATGTTCAGAAATAAACATAAATAATTTTTGGAAAACAGATCTCAGGTAAGATTTTCTAACCTTTGATCTTGATGGTTGACTTGCCTAGAAGCAATTCATTTTTAAATCCGATTAATTCAAGCTTTGGTTATCTAAATTTCTAAAAACATTATTAAGTAAACGAGAATCAACTGTCTGAATTCGGAGCACACATTAACTAAGCAAAAGAGAAAACAAAGCGTTTCAAAGGCTGAGAAACTAGTCACCTTATTTAGCCAGTTCAAAGCATTAAAAGTAGACCCTCCATTGCAGCCGTAATTATTATATGAGCAATCAATGACCTGCTGCACACTTAGGTCTTCCAAAGGCTTCCCTTTTATTGCATATGCTGATTCCACTGCACCTACCACACTGAAGGCCCAGCATCCTCCACACTGTTTAAAAATAGAAACAAAATAGTATTTATTATCAAACAATGTTCAAACCAAGTTTACCAACATTTTTCAATATCACAAGTTATCAAATCAGGTGGGCAGAATCTAGAGGTCTACAAAAATATAAATGCTCATCCTCTTTTCCAATTTGAAAAACAAAATTCTCTTTTAAGCATCAAAATCCAATGATTAGTTACAAGTAAATTGGTAGTATCATTATTATAAATTAAACAATGCAAGATGAAACCAAATTTTAGAGAATGAGAAAAAAACTGATATTTTAAAAGATAAGTCAGTTCATTAAATAGATGATGTCTGTTTCTCAGAAGTATACCAATTCCTATCCCATTCTCCAATCCCTTTTGTTTCTCCCCAGATAGTATGCTTCTGTGTCATCCACCATCTTTGCCCCAAGGGAGGTGATAAGTTGAGGTGGGGTGAAGATGTATGTCTTATATGTTATACTCATTATTTGATGGACACAGGAGCTGAATGAGTTACATTTCAGGCTATCAATATGCCAGCATATGTCAATTATAAATGCACATGAAATGTTCTAATGATAGAAACCCATGTTAGCCATTCCTCATTCAAATGTTGGCTGGCAATCTTTCCGATTCTGGATCTATTTACTTGCTTTTATTGGACAAACTAGAACAAAAGAATAAAAGGGTTGTCCTGAAAGAAAGGAGGGAGAAAGAGCAAATAGTATCAAGGATCATACACAAGAAAGATAGATCCATGAGAATGAGATTTGGAATTGGGTGGAAATATCCTAATCATAGGGCCATGTGCTGTAGAGTTAGGCAAAGAAAGAAAGAACAACTGGCTGTCTTTGTGGAGTGAAGTTTTGAGCAACTTCATGGCTTTAAGTGGCCATATTTATGTCCATATCTCTAGTGCCTATGGCATAGTAAAATATTCACTAAGGGACTAGACCTCAGAATCTTCACCCATTGATAAATGTGAAGACAGGTTGCTGACATCATACCTATAGCTAGCTTTAGTTAACCTGCCTTTGGCTTCCCCTGGAGGGCAGTGCCTGCTCAAAGATATCTCTCTAGTATACTCCTTTAATTAAGGAATCCTAATGAAAAGTTCCCCTTTAATACAATGCAGACACTCCTGGGAGGATTAGATGTCAGACTATTTCGCATTTGATTATGAATCCAGTAACAAAGCAAATGCTTTGTTGTGGCCCACATCAAATATTTTTGCAGCCCAGCCAATATAACGGTATGTAAGAAACATTTGAATAAAAATTTTGTAACTTAATTTTTACAATATCCTGTTATACATTATTATTATTTTTTAAATATATTTTCCCTACTGGGGATGTGCCCGCAACCAAGGTACATGCCCTTGACCAGAATCAAACCTGGGACCCTTCAGTCCGCAGGCCGACGCTCTATCCACTGAGCCAAACCGGTTAGGGCCTGTTATACATAATTATTAATAACAAAATACAATGTTTGCTAATGACTGATTACTATAATTGTGTTGCATTCATTTCCCTTACATGCCTTACGCACAGGCGCACCATTTGTCTCCACTAATACTGGCAGTGAATATTTTAGCTGCCGATTACCACATCATTAGTTCTTGGACTGACTTGTTTGGTGTGCACAACAGGAATATCTCACTTTTGGAGAACAAGAAAAATAGATTTATTTGCATTATGCTTATTCGTTTTGCAGTTATTCAGTATCTGGTAAGTTAATGTTCAAGAAAAAATGTTAACTTTTATTAAAATGCTCTATTATTTTATGTTAACGATTACTCATTGATTTCGGACCTTTGTATTAAGCATGTCTCTATCAAAATAAACTTACGTTTCTATGAAAATTTAAGCTTTTGTGTGTTTTTTAGCGGTCCACATAAACTTAAACCTTATTTATTTGGCCCGTGTTAATCTTTGAATTTGACATGTTTGCCTTAAATAAATGGTGACTGGGGAAACTGCAGGGTCCAGAATACTTGCCACACTGTCAGATGGGTACTAGATTTATCGAGGTGAGCACTTGGTAAGTTATATAAATGTCTAATCACTATGTTGTACACCTGAAAGTAATATAATGTTATATGTCAACTGCAATTGGAAAAAAATAACCAGGGGAGGGTGAATGACCCGTTGAGGTTTCCACAGCAGATAAATTGAGACTATAGCCACGTGTTTAGGTAACTGACTTTCCTCAGTCAGCTGACATTCCCTGTGCTGCAAATTTACTACTTTCTATCTTTTTTAAAGTGTGTCACTTAGTGTGACACATTTTTTTAATGCTGTAGTCTAACATAATTTCTCTTATAACACCTTTTGTTTTTACTGCAGGGGTTTGCCCTGATAGTGATTTTTAGGAATGTATGTATATGTCACATTATAGCAAAATAGACTGCATTTCTAAGGGTCACAGATAGAAAGCGTATGATCCTTTAGGGGACAGGGTTTTCCACTGGAGCTCAAGGGATGAGGTCTGAGAACCTAAAAGACCAGGCCACACTGTCGGTTAGTGTATATGGTATCGCGTTACTTTTTCAGTGTCATTTCTCATTTAGTAGTCAAGTTTACCTTCTCCAGCCCTCCATCTGCTGTTCTACAGAAGGTTTGGAAACTGTGACACAGCTACTGGGAAGCACCCTGAGCCAGTGTGCTGGTGGCAATGGTCATTAGTGAGAGAACACACCAAGGAAGGCTTATCTCAGAAACAAGTCGGGCTTTGACATCTGCCTCCCACTCCAACAGAGTCTCATTTTACTGCCATTTATTGAATGACTGGGGTGTGATTTTACCTAGAAGAATGATGGGTTCCATTACAAGTCTGATTGAACTTGACCTCAACGGTGACTCCCCATGCTCAGATGATTAAAAAAGAACAAAACCCGAGAACTTACCGCCTGCTGGTTTCTCACTTGTGTTACAACATGCTTATCTCTCCAGTCAAATCTTAATGGCAAAGACATGTTGGAGATGAGCATTGGACCTTCCGGGGAGTAGCGGGGGAATCTAGAAGTTTTGCTTCTTAAATAAATAGCTGAGTAGAAATAGGAAATGAAAAGACAACAATATTAGATTATAGGAAGGGCCCCTTGGGGTTCTTTTTTGGAGGAACGTTCCAAAAGAAACGTTCGCTTTGTAGGAGAGCCTGCCATTTATGATTTTTCTATGTGCTTTTCCATAACATGAAATGCAGTCAACTGAAAGCTATAAGAGATAAGAATTCCTACAATAGGGCTGAAGCTGCCACAGAAAATTACCTGTTTGAAAGACCAAGTCAATGTGCCCATTGTCCCTTACAGCAACATGGAAGTGTCTATAATATTTAGTTCTTAAGCAATAATTAGAAGAGTGACCATGAATTTATTTTTCTGTCAGCACCTGGTCCATGCTTGGTACCTAGTAAGTATTTAATAAATTATTAACTATTACTCAATGTTCTAGATTCACAATGTAACAATTCCTCAAAAATTAAGGAAAGAAGTTAAAATCAGGAAACCAATCAACAAATGGCATCACTACACCATACCTTTAAATTCTTCAGGAAACAAATATGAAAACTGATTTATTCCATAGATGGCAGTGGAATTTTCACTAGGAAATAAAGAATTCAAGTATCGATGTCTATTAAGACTTTCCTAAAAGGAAAAAAAAAAGGTAATTTGTATCACCTATGTTAACTTTCCAAAGCAATTTGTGTATAACTAACTTGGAGATATTCTTCAGGTGTAAAAGTCAAGCTCTGACTTATTTGTGGTAGATCACAGTGAAAGGTTGTATAAAATAATGAGATCATATTAATAAATGCTTTGTGTTAGAACTGCTATCTGATTTCAGGGACATTTTTGAGAGTGGGAAAGATATATCTTATCCATTTGTAATTTGTTCCCAATAAGCACGTAAAGAGCACTAAATATTTGTTTGTTTAACATAGTGGAAACAAGAAAATAAATTGCAAATAAATACTATGTACTAGTGGAACAGTCACCAGTAGACACTCATACAATGAAGCAATTATGCATTTGGAAAGTGTGTCTTCTTTATCTTTGTATTTCCGAGCACTAAGTAATGAAACATGGGAAAGGGAATGAGGAAATAATAAATGAACCTGATTCTATTTGAGCTTTATAGAATCCCTATCTCATTTAGGGCACAAAGCTTTGTGAGATGGAATCCTGGAAATGGTCCAGGCAGATAGGTTCGTTTGCCTGTCTGGAGGGAAAATATGACCATTACTTACAGATTTCTCAGTTTTTTGTGATAATCATGTTTTTGAAATGAACATGCCTCAATTTCCTCATACTATCAGTTGTGTAGCACAAATAAAATATCCAAGGGACCACTCATTTTGTACATATCAAATTCTATTTCTTGTATAATTTTTATGCACTTATCTGTTTGTGTGTCTATTTCTTAAACCCATAAGCAAAATGAGTACAAGGCCTATGTGGCATTATCAATGTGTTCCCCACATGCCTGGCACACAATATATGCTTAATTAGTATATGTTGCTGATTAAATTAAATATATATATATGCCTAATATGCAAATGGTCTCCACAGGAGTTCAATGGGGAGACCAGGAGTTCGATCACTCGCTATGACGTGTGCTGCCCACCAAGGGGCTCTAATATGCAAATGGTCTCCACAGGAGTTCAACAGGGAGACCAGGAGTTCGATCACTCCCTATGACGTGTGCTGCCCACCAAGGGGTGGCACGACATGAAGGTCCCGGCCAGCAGCCAGGGAATGAAGGCCCAGGCTGGCAGCCGGCTGCCAGGGAAGGAAGGCCCCAATTGGCCCTGATCGCTGGCCAGGCCTAGGGACCCTACCCTTGCACGGATTTCGTGCACCAGGCCTCTAGTAAATATATAAAGGACATTTCATATACATCATGTCCTTAATAGCTTTAAGGTGTTTATTTTTAAGCAAATTATCTGTGGAAATAATCATAATCTTATTTCTTCCTTACTGAGCATGCCTGAAAGAATTGCTAATCAATAATAATAAACAGTCACTGAGATTTAGGCATTTAAAAATAATCCTGATGAATCAGAGCTTTGAATATCATTTGGAGAGGAGAGGTATAAATACAAAGAATAGAACTGGAATGCAAAGCAATTATATAGACATCAAGTAACCAATGTAAGCCAGAGATGGCTACTGCCAAGTAATTCAGAGAATTCATTTTCTCTGCAAGTCTTGATTGGCCAACCTTGTGAGCTGAAGTAACCAGAGAAAGCATTGAGAATGTGGGACTTTAAGAATGCACAGAGCATACGGCAGCCAGGAGAATGGGCCTCGCAGACCTCCATCCATAGGGGATCTTCTGACACTGAATTACCAGGAGGAGTCCCAGGAGGAACAAGGTTCCCACAGGCTGCACCTAGCCAATGACGGAGCAGTAAGACTGGCTGGCCTATTTGGGGGAACCATGGCACTCTGCTGAAAGCTGGGTTTTGATTGATGAGTTCCTTCTGACCTCTCCTACACTAAGCAGCAGTCTAGGGCACTTCCCCAATCTTCCTTTCATCACAAAATGTGAGTTTATATTGAGCTCCGACTCCTCATCCTATTAGCAACCTGTCACGAAATCAGCATAGGAGAGGATCAATTAGCATATGTTTTTAACATAAGGAATGGAGGATGTAAGAGTGATGTACTGTATAGTAAATATCTCTAAATATTTAAATATATAAAATATTAAAATGAAAGACTTGAACCTTAATTTCATTTATGAAAGAAACGATGTAAAGGTTTGCCACTGCTGAGATCAGCAGAACTTGTTCAAACAGTAATGTCTTGCATAGGTAACAAGAAATCCTAGGAGGATGGTTCTGAAAGCCCAGTTCTTACATGCTTTCAGTTTAGTTCACCTGGGTTGCCAGATGAGAGGGAGGTTGGGGAACCGGCTGAAAAAGGCAAAGGGATGAAGAAGTACAGACTTGCAGCTACAAAATAGTCATGAGGATGTAAATACAGTAAAGTACAGTATAGTCAATAATAGTCTAATAACAATATGGTGTCAGGTGGGTGCAGGAATTATCGTGAGTTATATAAATGTCTAACCACTATGCTGTAGACCTGAAACTAATATAATATTGAATTTCAACTGTAATCAAACATAAAACATTTAGATTTTAAAAAAGACATCTAAGTGTTGCAGAATACACAGGAAACATATTAGCAGTTTTGAAAGGTACAAAAGTTTGAAAAACAAATGGATCACATACTAGAAATCTGGGAACTGATAAATCAAAACAGCTTTTAAACAGACATGATGAAAAATAATTATCTTTACATGTTTTTTTTCCCTTTGTTTTGACTGAATGTGTTTAATTGAATGAGTGACAATAAGACATACCAGGTTCCAGGGCCAAAAAACTTGAAGAAATTATGATTATAAAACTAGGAAAAACATGTCGTTTTGACATCAAATCAATATCTTGTTTTAAAACTCTCTAATCAACCTTATTTATATTCAGCTACCTGTCTGTTCCAGAGTTTTAATGCTGGGGCAAAACCTAAACCTATTGATGAAGCCTTTTCAAAATAATCTGAAAAAGAAATCAATGCTTTCCCTTTCTCTACATCAGTCTCCACCGAGTCAGGTGAACTTTTAATAAGGTGATGCACGAGTCAACAGAGCCCCAGTGCAGGAAAATCACATGTGGGCAAGGTCCTCCCGGCTTGCCCAATGCAGGCACTTTACCCAGTGGTTCTCAACCTGTGGGTCGCGACCCCTTTGGGGGTCGAATGACCCTTTCACAGGGGTCGCCTAAGACCATCGGAAAACCCATATATAATTACATATTGTTTTTGAGATTAATCACTATGCTTTAATTATGTTCAATGAAAATACATCCTGCATATTAGATATTTACATTACGACTCATAACAGTAGCAAAATTACAGTTATGAAGTAGCAACGCAAATAATTTTATGGATGGGGGTCACCACAACATGAGGAACTGTATTAAAGGGTCGCGGCATTAGGAAGGTTGAGAACTACTGCTTTAGACAATTCTGATCCCAGAAGGAGGTGGCCAGCGCCCCCCTCCGGAAGAAGCGTGGCAGGTTTCTAACGCCTCTGGTTCCTGTAACTGAAATGAGGCAGCTTGGGAGGCAGTGAGCACCGCCAGGGGATTCGGCTAAAAGGGGAGCTTCTAAGCAAGAATACTTCGGACCTATCCACTGATCACTTGGGACGGATCATAGACATCCGCGGCGGCAACACTTCTTTGGAAAATCAAATCTTTGGGTTAGCAAAGGCATGGGACAGGGCGAGGGCCAGACACGTGGGGGACGCAGGGAGAAGTTGGGGGGTGTAACCCCATCTCAGAAACTCAGCAAGCGAGGGGATCCCCAGGAATCTCCGCGCTCGGAGGCCCCTGGGCCCCAGCCCAGACTCAGGACAGGAAAGGACGAGAAAGAAACAAACAGGGGGGCGCGCTCGGTACCCGGAAGGCGGCTGCCTGTTGCTCGCTGCTCCGCGGTCCCATCCGGGTGAAGGTGGCACCGGGACCGGCTCCATGGCCTCCGCCGCCGTAGCACCAGCACCCGCACCAGCAGAGCAGCCAGAGCGCCCGCAGCTCCATGCCCGAGCCCAGGCCCCGGGCGCCACCGCCCCAAGGGTTTCCTTTCGATTCCTGGGCTCCTCCCCGCAGGGCTTGTGGGGCGGGAGCAGCACAGCGGGGTGTGCGGTCCGGCCCACTGAAGGCGCTCGCCGAGTTCCCATGCTCTGTATCTGCGAGTCCGCTTACTGCCAGCTGTTGAGATTCGCCCTGCTTTTAGGGGGAAGAAGCATAGGGCACTTGGCCACGTGCTTTCTGGCTTCATCTCCATCTGTTGGAAAAAAGCCTGGGAGTCCTTCTTCATACAGGACATGGGCATACAAACTGGGGTGACCTGCACGTCCAGAATGAAGTCCTTTACTTATCTTCCTTAGATCTCAAATGGAAAGTAGTTGATCTTGACCTTAATCCTGCTGTTTCTGCAATGGTCCCTCATGCTCAGAAACTAACTCTGAAATGCTTTGCGAATTTACACGGAGATATGCACTCAGCAGATGTTTGTTTACCGTATGTTGCAAAGAATGTACGGTTGTGGAAATAGTGCCCAATTTCTTGATTTATTATAGTGCAGCCATTTCGAAACTTTCAAAGTTTGTTTCTCCAGATGCACAGAAAGATAGAGATGGTAACTCTTTCTTAAATTTGTGCTGAAATTTAAATAAAGCAACCCACGTAAAACACACTGTATGATGCCTGGCACATGTTAAGTGCTCAGTGTTAGCTATTTATATTATTTTTAAGGTACCCACCCCCATTTTATTGTTGTTACACTGCTTTCCACCAGCTCAGCTTAATTCTGAATATCCCATATTCATGCTTTCTTCTTGTTTTTAATATTATTTTTTTAAGCATTTTCACTTCATATGAACCCAGTCCTAGAGAATGGGCCACAGAAAGGACAAAAGTAATGTTCAGATCAGTTAACATCCCATCTGGCAGCAGCTCAGGTTGAGGATGCTCCGGTGGGAGGGGAGGGAACCCCCTTTGAAGAGACTAGGTGACTTCAAATGCCCATTGTCACAGGCCCTGGATGGCTCTTGAAACAGTCACTGTTTCTCAAATTTAAAGTGCGCAAGGCACCTAAAACAATTATACAAGAATATTGAGTGTCAACTGCAATTGAAACGTAACAATTTTAAAAAGAAATAATGTAAAAAATAGAGTGCACAGGAAATGCAAATTCTGCACAGGAAATGGTTCTGGAGTGAATCCTGGTTCTGCTTTTCTAACAAGCTCCCAGGGGCTGTGGCTGCTGCTGGTAGCACAGGCCACACACTGGGTGGCAAGCAGTGCACCACTCACTGCTACTGTTTCTCCACTTTTCCTCCTACAGGGGGAACTGGGAAGAGGGCTGGGGTATCTACCTCAAAGGAATTCTATATTCCTTTCTGGACATTGCATCTCTGCTTATTTCCTTGAAAAGTATGTAGTCAGTTTAATATTATTGGACCTCAGGACCAGCTGCATAATTAGCATACTCAGTGTAAAATGAAAATGGAGGCCCCTTCTTCATATATTATTAAGAATTTCAAGACAGGAGCAGTAGAGTGATAAACTAAGCTCTGGGTCTTTCTAATCACAGAGTTCTGTGTGACTGCTCAGGCCACAGATCCATGAAGGCGGCTCTATTGGGCGTTTCTATAATAACCCTTTCGATACAAGGCTCCTGGAAGTCTTCAAAATTGATGTCATGACCCTCTCAAACTTTTTAGAACCATCATCTGATTTATGTCTTTAGTGTTTACCTAGGTATAGTGAGTCAAGCTATTTTCTGATGAAAAATTGGTAATAAAAATAAAGTACATTTGTTCTGGGCATTAAAAGTAAAGACTTGGATGCTTTTTTACATGCATGTTTGAGGAGATATATTGCTCTTGGAATATATGGTGATAAAGATTTCTTTAGACAGTAAGTTCACAGATCCGTTCATGTCAACTCGGTAGTCTTTTGCACCTAGCTATTACTTGTAAATCATTGAAGCTAATACCCTTAAACACACACACACACAAACACACACACACACAGAATGATTACTATTCACAGCCACACAAAAAACAAAAAAAAACACAAACAAACAAACAAAAAAAAAACCAAAGGTTTGCAATCAGATCACAGCTACTGTTTATTGACAACCTACTGAGTCAGAAAATTTAGTAACAGGCAGTCATCTTTACCCAAGCGTAAGTGGAACTGTAAAAAAAGCCATGGAACGAAATTTACTTCCTAAGCTCACATCAACAAATACTTATTGACCACCTATTAAGTGTCAGGTATTGTTCTATGTAATGAGGATCCATTAGTGCGTGAATGATTAAAGAGACAAAATTTCCACCCTCATGGAACTAGCATCCAGTGAAAAAGATGCACAGAAAAATTAGTAGAAGCGTTATGAGGTAATACAATTTCATAAGAAGAATCAGGAGTGTGAAGGGCTAGGGTTGCAACTTCAAATCAGGTGTTACGGATAGACCTCCCTGAGAAGGAGATATTTGAACAGAGACTTGAAGGAGGTGAGAGTGAAATAATCAGATATTTGGGGAAGAGAAACTAAGAGAGAAGGAATAATCAGTGCAAAGGCCTTGAAGTGAAAGCATGCCTGACATGTTCCAGAAATGTAAAAAAGAAGTCAGTGTGCATGAAGTGAAGAGAAAGAGGGAGAGAGTAGAAGATGGGATAAGTAAGAAGCACACAGATTATATAAGTCTTTGTAGGTTAACGGGGAATCAAAATTATTTATTACATAGTTTTTTAAAGTTTGAAAAGTTTTCTTTTTGTCTTGAAAAGTGGAAGTCACAAGTATCTGCTAATTTTCAGAACAAACACTGTAAATTATATCTATATGGGAGGTGTAATTTTTTTCTTTAAGTTTGCAAAATATCACACTCCTGTATTAATCCTATATTAATAATGTATCGCTGCATCACAAATAACCCCCAACTCAGTAGCCACAAAGTACTATCATTTAGTATCTCACACAGTTTTGGTGGGGCAGGTCGGAGCAACCTAGCCAGATGGCTCTGGCCCAGCCTCTGTCACGAGGTTGCAGACAAGTTGCCGAAGTGGCTGCAGTCATTTGAAGGTGTCTCAGGGTTGGAGGGTTCGATTCCAAGCTCACGTGGCTGTTAGCAGGAGTCCATGGTTCTTCTCAGGCTTTTGGACGAAGGCCTCACTCAGACCCTTCCCACCTGGATTCCCCAGAGACCTGCTGTGGGATGACAAGTGTCTTCCCCAGAGTGAGAGACCGGAGAGACTGACCGAATGGGCAAGGGGGTGAATGAGAAGGAAGCAGGTTTTGTCTTCTACAACCTGATCTTGAAAGTGACATACCATCCCTTCCACTCTCGGTTGCACAGACCCACCCTTGTAAAATATGGGAGGTGGGGATGATGACATGGGGGTGTGAATACCAGGAAGTAGGGCTCCTTGGGGGCCATCTGGGAAGCCAGCTACCACACACTCATCTTCGACTTGAGCCGCCCAGTAACAAACACGCCACCTTTTTTTTTTTAATAGGAAAATAATCCTGCACTTCGTCCATTTTTGCAAATGCTTCTCAACTTCTGTGATCATCAAGTCATTATCTGCTTTTGTTTCGATGCTGTCATGAGCCTTCTGGATTTTCTCCCATTTTGAATCATTCTACTTCATTTTGAATGCCTTTGCTATGGAGTTATTTGGTTGTGTGTGTGTTGTTGTTTTTTAACATTGATTACTTAGTAAATACTCATGTATTTATTATGACTTACCAGGCATTATGCTAAGCACTTTACAAATATTTCCTTTATTCAATTCTCATAAGCCTTGCAGTAAATAGTATTATCATTTTCATTATATAGATGGGGAAACTAAGGCACAGAAAAGTTAACATACTCGTTCAAGGTTATGCATTCAGTCACTTATGGATCTAGTATTTGAACAGGTAGAATCTGGCACTAATCTATGCTATGTCTCTCTCCAGTACTTCATCAGCATTTTTATGTGATTCATGGAATTCTGTACTTTAAGATATGCATTATTAATATACTATCAACGAGCACTCTAATTGCATAAGATACTGTAAACTTCAAATAATCAGCTGAAGATCATCAAATAATTTGAAACAAACCAAGAATGATGCTAGTGTTAAGGTAAGGAAAATATTTGAGTGGATATCAATGTTATGAGATCAGTTCTTTCGTGATTGTTTTCATGATATGAGGAGTTATTCTTCCCTGCACCATCTCCTGACTGCAGGGTTGCAGGTAATAAATACACTGATAAGAAGGAACCTCATCCGTTACCTCTAATCCTCACAGCAAACCTGCAAGGTAGGAATTATTATCCTCACTTTCCAAGTGAGGAAACTGACTCATATAGCGGTTAAGAAATTTAATGAAGATCCTACGAAGTAAGTGGCCATGGAGAGATGTAAATTGAGCTGTCAGACTTCAGAGAGCATGCATGCTTTTTGAGCTATGCCAGGCTGCCCTCAGTTACTCCAAGACATGTGCTGTGGTTGTTTTTTTATTATTACTTTTATTTCATGTTGGTCTTTCTTATTGATGTACCATTTGTACTCCACTAAGCACTTTCCATGTTCTAATATAACTTACAGGAAAGCTTGACATTTGGTAATATCCTTGAGTATTACCTCTGCATTGAATAGGTTGTTTTGTTTTCTTTCCTTTTTAATTTCTCTCCCTGTTATGGAAAGAGATCTTATACCTCCAGGCAATGAATTGGCTACTGCCTGGATTGAAAGATTTGATGATCTTTGGTCCTAGATTGTTTCCTGAACATTTTACTAATGCCCTCCCCTTTGGTTATTGTTGTGGATCGGGTTCACAGAGTCATTGCAATTGTCCTTAACCTCTTGCATTGGCAACATTTCATGGGGAAGACATAAATCCTGGATATAAAAATGTGTTACATACATTTCTAGGTCTGAGACTTTCAAATTTCCTTTCTGGCCCAAGAGAAGAAATGCTGTCTGAACTGCTATAGCTAATGGGCAGGCTTTGTCAGGCTTTAAAAATAGCCCATTCCAGTTTCTCAGCTGGAGGGAAAAGACTGTAACAGAGGCTGCCAAAAAGGCAGGAGAACA